CTTGGTTCCTTCAGAAGCAGCCTTCTGTCTAGTAGGGGAAACAGAAAGAAAGGAATGGAAGGAAGGAAGGAAAGGAAAAGAGGAAGGAAGAAAGGAGAGGAAGAGAGAAAAAAAGAAAAAGAAAGAAGAAAGAAAAAGAAAAGCTTGAGAAAAATGCTATGAAGAAAATAAACAGTGCTGTGATGAAGAATAACAGGAAGGGCTGAGGCTACTTAGGGTGATTAGGGAAAACCTCACTAGGGAGGTGACATTTAAGTTGAGATCTGAAACATGAGAAGAATTAGGGAAAGATAGTTAAAGAACATGGCATGTTCTATCAGTCTGAAGACCAATATGTTTGAAGCCTGATGAGCAGAATGGGAGAATGGCACAAGATGAAGTTGGAGAGGATACAAGGCATAGTAGAAGTTTGGATTTTCTTTTGTATGCAATTTAAGTTATTAAAGGGTTTTAAGCAGGAGGTGATGTGGTCTGGTTTGTGTTTTTAATAGATTATTCTGGATGATTTGTGGATTGTAAGGGGGCAAGAGTGAAATGGGATACCAGTTAGGCCATTGTGATCATTTAGGCAAGAGATGAATGAAGGCAGCTTGCATTAGGGTGAAGGCAATAGAGATAGATTTTTGAAACCTGCTCTCACATCCCTCAATATTTTCTCTTTTATAAGCTGAACATCTCAGTTCAGTTTTCCTGTCATAACAGGTTTACTCTCTTTTTCATCTGGGTGTTTTTCCTTTGGAAGGTATAACTCCCTAGGTTACAGCCTGCCCTCTGATGCTTCTGTAAAGAACCCAGATTTCCCACCTATATTTTCCTTAGCTCTTTCCTCCTATCCTGTGCCTTACTTGTAGTTCTAGGAAATTAAAAATTTTAATCCAGTGACTATCCCTCTCATATGAACAAGGGAGACTCAGTTTTCCCTGTCATTAATCAGTTATCAGCCTTTCAATTATGCAATCATGACTCTTTTTTTTTTTTTTTTTTTGAGACAGAGTCTCGCTTTGTTGCCCAGGCTAGAGTGAGTGCCGTGGCATCAGCCTAGCTCACAGCAACCTCAAACTCCTGGGCTCAAGCAATCCTGCTGCCTCAGCTTCCCGAGTAGCTGGGACTACAGGCATGTGCCACCATGCCTGGCTCATTTTTTCTATGTATATTAGTTGGCCAATTAATTTCTTTCTATTTATAGTAGAGATGGGGTCTTGCTCTTGCTCAGGCTGGTTTTGAATTCCTGACCTCAAGCAATCCACCCACCTCGGCCTCCCAGAGTGCTAGGATTACAGGCATGAGCCACCACGCCCAGCCCAACCATGACTCTTAAATACTTACTGTGCTGGCTGGCCATGCTTGGAGACCGAGAAAAAGAAGACTCCATCCCTACCCTCCTTGAGCTCTGGGTGTAATTGGAGAGATAAGGAACAAATAAATATAACAAAAGGTAGAAAAACAGATCGCAAAGAAAGTGAGATAAAGGGCCTTGGGAGGAAGGAGGAATTTTCAGTTTTGAGGTAAATGAGGAAAAAGGGAAATTAAGGAAGATAGTAATTTGAAGCACCTGGGGCTGGAGTGGGGGCAGGGAGTACTTTTTTATATGGGGTGGTCAAGGATGACCTCACTGAAAAGTCAATGTTTTTATTTATTTTTTGGTAGAGATGGGGTCTTCCTCTTGCTCAGGCTGGTCTTGAACTCCTGGCCTCAGGCAATCCTCCCGCCTTGGTCTCCCAAAGTGCCAGGATTACAGGCAAGAGCCTCTGAGCCTGGCCAGAAGTCAATGTTTGAGCAATGATTCAAAGACAAGGAATAAGTCATGTGGCTATATAGGACAAGAATGCTCCAAGTAGAGGGTAAAGTCTCTGAGGTTAAGTGTGCTTGGTGGGCCGGACTTGATGGCTCACGCCTGTAATCCTAGCACTCTGGGAGGCCGAGGCGGGCAGATTGCTTGAGGTCAGGAATTCAAAACCAGCCTGAGCAAGAGCGAGACCCCGTCTCTACTATAAATAGAAAGAAATTAATTGGCCAACTAATATATATAAAAAAATTAGCCGGGCATGGTGGCGCATGCCTGTAGTCTCAGCTACTCCGGAGGCTGAGGCAGGAGGATTGCTTGAGCCCAGGAGATTGAGGTTGCTGTGAGCTAGGCTGATGCCATGGCACTCACTCTAGCCTGGGAAACAAAGTGAGACTCTGTCTCAAAAAAAAAAAAGTGTGCTTGGTGTTTTTGCCAAGCCTTGGGAGGCCATGTGGCTGGAGCAGAGGGAAAGGGAGAATAGTGGTATATTAGGACAGAGAGATAATGAGGGACAAGATCATGTAGGAACTAGTAGGCCATTTTTTCCTTTTATTATTATTTTTTGAGACAGAGTCTTACTATATTGTCCAGGCTGGATTTGAACTCCTAGGTTCAAGTGATCCTTCTACCTCAGTCTCTCAAGTATCTAGGACTATAGGTGTGTGCCACCACACCTGGCTCTAGATGTCAGCATTTAAAAACTGTGAAGTGTTGATGAAAATAGATTCCAGGTCTCTTGAAAATTTGAAAAAAATTGGCAACATTGAGCCCTTATTCACAGAAGGCAAAAGTTGACAGGAGCTAATTTTAGGTACTGGATGCCTCCTCTGACAGGAGCTAAGTTTAGGTATTGGATGTCTCCTTTTTCTAGAACATGTACTCTGCAGTTTTCTGGTCCCTGTCCCTCCCTATTGTTTCCCCTAAACTGAGGCTAAGTGCCGTTGCACTTGTACTGCTGTTTTCCTATAGCAAAGTTAAGTGGAAAGGGAACGATTTCTTGTCTTTTAAGTGTTCTAACATCTTAAAGGGCTTGGGAACTTGCAGTAGGCTAGTAATCTACCCCCTCCCTTCTTCCAGCCAGCCAGGGCCCCAGCCTGGTGTGTATGTCAGAGTAAGAGGACACTGGAATGAATAAGGTACTCATATATAATGTATTAACTTGAGTCCAGAGCCAAGAAGAAGAATGTACAGTGTCTGTGTGTGTGTTTGGCAGTGGGGGGGGAGGGGTATTCTGGAAGTAGGCTTAAGTAAGCTGCATTTGCATAGGTTGTACTTTTCTGTTCCTGTGCACTCTATGTACCAGGCTCTATTCTAGGTGCTAGGGATGTAGCAGTGAACCAGACAGACAAGATTTCTGCTACTATGGAAAGTTTCATAAAAAAAAAAAAATTTTGATAGAGAATTTCTAAAGGGACAAATTGTGCACATAAGTGGGTACATGTATGTGGTACATGTACTTGTAGATAGGCTCATGTTTGAGTCCTGGGTGCATATATTTATGCTTATTTGTACCTATGTGTATTAATGTGCAGCTCTTAGTTTGTTTATTGGTATACGTGATTTTACACAAATGAGTGCACACAGGTGAGCTGGTATGTGGTACGCATAATGGGACATGTGTGCATGGGTATGTATATGTCAGCATTCAGCTGTAACTGGAGCAGTTCTGAAGTTTCTGTGGCATTTGTCAGTGAGCCAGTTAAGAAATGGCTTTTCTGCCTCTGGCATTCAGGGCTATTTGCCAGCTTACTCTCTCCTTGCCCCTTCTCACTTTAATAAGCTCTCTGTGCTTGGCTTCTCTTATCCCTAGAGGGTTAAAGCCAAGGAGAGGATAGTAACTGACTTATTGAGCCAGGAGCTGGAAAAAGACTGATAAACTTCTATGTAACCTGTTAGTAAGAAGGACTATAAGTAAGTCTGTTAGTAAGTCAGTACTCTTTGCCTCTATTAGTAAAAATAGGCTTGGCTTCCCTGCCAGTCCTTATCCACCACACTATGAGGCAAAGAGTAGACTTGAAATCAGAAGACCTGAGGATCTATTCTTGGCTCTGCCACTTATTATTGTGTGACCATGGCTAAGCTACTACATTGCTCTAGGCTTCAATTACCTCCTTCGCAGATGATTTAGTGCAAGTGATCTGGATGAAGACTCTACTTTCTTTCTTTCTTTCTTTTTTTTTTTTGAGACAGAGTCTCACTCTGTTGTCCCGGCTAGAGTGCCATGGCATCAGCCTAGCTCACAGCAACCTGTAGCTCCTAGGCTCAAGCAATCCTGCTGCCTCAGCCTCCCGAGTAGCTGGGACTACAGGCATGCTCCACCATGCCTGGCTAATTTTTTCTATATATTTTTAGCTGGCCAATTAATTTCTTTCTATTTTTAGTAGAGATGGGGTCTCACTCTTGCTAAGGCTGGTTTTGAACTCCTGGCCTTGAGCAATCTGCCCGCCTTGGCCTCCCAGAGTGCTAGGATTTCGAGTGTGAGCCACTGCGTCCACTCTGTTGCCTGGCTAGAGTGAGTGCCGTGGCGCCAGCCTAGCTCACAGCAACCTCAAACTCCTGGGCTCAAGCAATCCTCCTGCCTCAGTCTCCCGAGTAGCTGGGACTACAGGCACGTGCCACCATGCCCAGCTCATTTTTTCTATATATATTAGTTGGCCAATTAATTTCTTTCTATTTATAGTAGAGACGGGGTCTTGCTCTCGCTCAGGCTGGTTTTGAACTCCTGACCTTGAGCAATCCGCCCGCCTCGGCCTCCCAGAGTGCTAGGATTACAGGCGTGAGCCACCGCGCCCAGCCCTCAGGCTGGTTTTGAACTCCTGACCTCGAGCGATCCACCCACCTTGGCCTCCCAGAGTGCTAGGATTACAGGCGTGAGCTACCATGCCCGACCAATGCAGTCTTAATACTTATCAGGAAGAATCATATCTGTGATTCCTTAGGATGGAAGAAAAGGGACCATCATTCCATTTTATCAACATAAAAATGGGGATCAGAGATGGACAGTGCATTTTCCAATGACACATAACATATGTATAAAGTATCTTCAAAGGCCAAAATATCTGACCGCTGAGCTCAAGGTGTGATAGCAGATGGCTCACTCTCATAGGACAGTCCCAGATTTTGATGTTACTGGATGGCTTTTATGACTGTTCCTGCTTCTCATTTGGGGAATATATTATATCCCTAATCACTGGTTCTTTCTGATGTATCTCAGGGAGGGCAATGAACCAGGGGAGACCACCCAGATCACATACCATGAGCTTCTGGTCCAAGTGTGCCAGTTCAGCAATGTTCTCCGAAAACAGGGTGAGTGTGGGAAAGAGACTGGGGGCCTTGCCTTGAGTATCTGAGGACTTATGGAGAAAGGACAAGTGATGGAAGGAATCTGGTAACAGCAGAAGAGAAAAAGTCAGCTGGGAGGGGGGCTAGCTGGCTGGGAGGGAGCAAGTAGTAGCAGGAAGGGTTCATGGTCCATGTTTTGTGTCTTACCTGCAGGCATTCAGAAGGGTGACCGAGTGGCCATTTACATGCCTATGATCCCAGAGCTTGTGGTGGCCATGCTGGCGTGTGCCCGCCTTGGGGCTTTGCACTCCATTGTGGTAGGAGTTTGGGCTGGTGAAAAGGGGTGGGGGTGGGGAATGGGACTCTGGAGAAGTAGGTTGGGCCTGGATGATGGAAGGTCTTAAATAACAAACTAAGGAGTTTATGTTTATGTCATAAATCCGTATCAGTTATTCAGTTTCTTCTAGGACCCTGGGTTGGAGATCCTGAAGGTTTCATGAGCAACTCTTTTCCTTGTTTACTCAATCCCTGTGACCTCCTCTATCTCTCAGTCTTTCTTCCCTTCCCTAGTTTGCAGGCTTCTCTGCAGAGTCTCTATGTGAAAGGATCCTGGATTCTGGTTGCAGCCTTCTCATAACTACAGGTGACTAATTCTCCTACCCCCTTCTCCAGAACCCCCGTACCTTGAGCCTTGTTCTTCAATCAGCTTATTGGTATTGGGGGCTGCTCAGCACAGAGGGAAGGAACTGCCTGCCCTTCCTTTCTTGGTCCCGGTCAGCTGACCCTCTGTCAGCTCAAATCAGCTGGAAGAGCCAGAATAAAGAGGCCTACTTAGGAAAGGCTCTGTGAACATTGTCCCCACTGGGGAGTGTGGTGCCTACTAAGGCCTGGAATGTCTGTTGCTCCCCAAAGATGCCTTCTACAGGGGGGAAAAGCTTGTGAACCTGAAGGAGCTGGCTGACGAAGCCCTGGAGAAGTGTCAGGAGAAGTAAGTGTGCTTGGCCAGTTGGCTACTGCCCTGGGTTGACTGAGCTTTTCCCCAGTGGCAGGTTCCCTTTGTCCCCCCTAATCTAAATTGATATGGGTGGGTCTTGCCAAATCCTCTTCGAGCCAACTAGGCTAACACTTTTAGGCTTTTCTTTCCTCCAGGGGTTTCCCAGTGAGATGCTGCATTGTGGTCAAGCACCTAGGGCGGGCAGAGCTGGGCATGGGTGACTCTCCCAGCCAATCTCCCCCAATTAAGAGGCCATGCCCAGATGTACAGGTGAGTCCAACACTAGTATATGCCTTCCTCTGGGCTCAAATTGCCTCTCTCTTCTTGCCCAGGAAGTTCCTGATGCCATCTTGTTTCCTAATCATAATTCTAAGGATCTCGGAGCAATCCTAGGGATGTCTTCTCTGGCAGGGCAGGGTGGGAGCTGGAAGACTTTGACCTTGAATGTGGATAGGGAGGCCCTTGATAGTAAGGGAGACTCCTGTGCTGACTGGGGTATCCTTATGGGCACAGGGAACCCTCAGGGCTTGGGCTTGGATTAGAAATGTCTGACTTGGGTGACTGTATGTAGTCATCTTGATTGCTGGGCTATGACTTGTGTTGAGCTACTTTTGTGGCCTAGGGAATGCCCACCATGGAAGAACCAGGATCTAGCCCCCAAGATATGGCTCTTAATAGCTTTGGATCCCATGCCTCTGGTGGTAATAATAGAAAAGCCCAATGGTGGCCTCCAGATCTGAGGAGCATGAGGATGAAAGTTCTAGGATCCAAAAGGACAGATGGTTACTGAGATTCTGTGACTTAAAGGTCTCTGGGTGATCTTGGGGCTAGAGAGGCTATAGTCTTATTTAGGGAAGTTGGAGAGCCCAAATAGCATTAGGAGTTTTGTATGTATAGGGGCTAGAATCAGCATCAGGAAAATGGAGGCTGGGAGGACTAATGAGAGGGAAATCTGAGGGAAAGGAGGCAGCCAGGGGTTTGGGGTACCCTGACTCTTCCCTCCTACTCCTTGTATACTTGGACCCTGCTCACTAGCCTTTCCATGGGCTCTTAACAGGGTAAGCTGAAAGAGAAATCCAAGCGTGTCCGGCCCCAGGTATCCACTTCTGCACTGCCGTGGGCACTGCTTCCCTGTGTGCTTATTGGTGTGTCCATCTGCTCTTTGCCTTTTTGCCCCATTGAGATAACTGCCAGATCTAACCCCCTTCCTCTTGCCCCTGGGCCCTTTGCCATCTAAGCTACTCTGAAAGGTTGTGAAATCAAATACCTATTGCTGCCTCTGTGAACTGACATAAAGCATGGATCTCAGGGAGTTAGCAAAGGAACCTATTTCATTCCTGCTGCTCAGGACCTTTGTGGAAGAGGGGACCAGGTTACCTGTCAGAAAGCATTTACTGTGCAGAGCCAAGAGAGACAGGATAAGGAGCAGGTAGAAGAGGTACAGACCCTGACCTTAGGAATTCACCATCAAGCTGGGAAGTTAGACATTTATTAAAATGAAAACTTAAGTTTTATACAGGGCAGCAGAGAAGAAGATTCCTAAATACATTTATATACTACTTTGGGATTTACAAACTACATGGAACTCTCTGATATGATTAAGTACTATACTGAACAAAAGTCACATTGTAAGTGGTTCTAAGAAGGGAGATCCATAAGTGGGTGCTCAAAGCAGATTAGTATAGAGGAGAAAGTGGGCCTGGAGTCCAGAGACCAACTTTTAGCTGTATGACTTTGAAAAAGTCACCTCTCCTCTCTGGACTTCAGTAATGGAGAAATGATAATACACACTTAAAAGGAAACACTTCCCTTACTAAAACAAAACACACTATTTCTCTGGGTTTTACCATCCTCACAGGTTATCTTATTTCAAATCTGCTGTGATTAACCTCTTAGGCTAATGGTAGATACAAGCCCCTTTTCCCTATGCTCATTAGCATGGTAGAGACAGATGTGATTTCCAAGGGATACTGTTTTCCTTTTAAAACTTAGGCAGGGATCTAAGCCCCTTCTTTTGAAAGAGGAAACAAACTCTGCAGTTTAAACTATAGGCTCTGGAGCCAGACTACTTGGGTTCAAATCCTGGCTCTGTCACCTGCTGCTCTGTAACCTTGGGCAGGTTACTTAAACTCTCTTTCTTCTGTTTCCATATCTGTAAAATAAGGACAATAATTGTACCTATCCTATAGGGTTTTGTCAATATATGTAAAATGTTTGGCACATAGTAACTATTCAATAAATGTTAGCTATTTTTGCTTCCCCTTAATACAGCAGACAGACTGGCATTTCTAAAAGGGAGACCAGAAAAGAAATTTAAAAACTCTGGTAATTCTCAATACCAGAGACCTTCAAGGCAATATGATCCTGGATTATTATTTCTTGGAGGTGAAAACAACTAGTTACCAAAAAACCAAAGAGCATAAAAATAGGCTTAAAAATGTTTGTGGTCTGAGAATTACAGTCAAAGCTGCAGAAATCTTAGCAGAGCTCCAAACCCCTTCGTCCTTAAGCAATCTTTAAGGGAGAATCTGGCACAGTTTGCAGGCGCTCTTCTCAACCATATCACCCATGAGCTCCCTCATATTCCTCTCCCATACCTGGCAGCTGCCTTCCCTGAGGCTATCCTGGTCCGAGGACAAAGGCCAACTCCTTGATTCTTATTTTTGAAAATTCAAACCTTTTCCTGGTTCAAAGCCTTGGGCCTCATGGGCAAACACCTAATCCCAATGTTTGCTTCACTAATTTGGCTCCCTCTGCTTCCTGGTGCTAGTTGTCAGCTACACACCTGGAGTCCCCTGCCCCCTCCACTCTGCTCAACACTGACACACCCACAGAGGAATCAATTTCATAAGATTATAAGAGTGCCTTCCTTGCAAAGCCACAGTTTAACTATGCCTTGTCTTCACATGTACTTGGTGCCTGTTCTATGACAGTTCACAGTACTATAGACCAACATCATTTATCCAAAGAAATATTGACATTTTTCCTTCAATACTTTAATCCCTCACCTCAAGTGATCATTTGGTGGGGAAAAAAGTATCCATGTGACAATGTATGTGTAGATTCATATGAATCTTCCACTAAAAAATAGGGTATATTCTTATGTTTTCTAGAGACAGGCAGATTCTCTCTCTTCTTTTTTTCTTCCTTTTATTTTTAATGATACCCTTACTTGGACTAGACTTGTCATTCTTATAATGCTCATATGCCAGAAACTTCAAGTCAGAAAGAGGGAAGTAGAGTCATTTTATAATTTGATAAGGTATGTGTTTAACATTTTAGGGTTTATGCACACAATAAATTAGCATAATCCTTGTAACGGGTTAAGGATCTTTTTCTTATATTCCTTGTTTACCTGCCATCCAGGGCACTTGAACATAAGGAATCTAATGAATATGAAAGGACTTTTTTTTTTTTTTGAGACAGTCTCATTCTTATTGCCCTGGCTAGAGTGCTGTGGTATCAACCTAGCTCACAGCAACCTCAAACTCCTGGGCTCAAGCGATCCTCCTGCCTCTGCCTCCGAGTAGCTGGGACTACAGGCATGTGCCATCATGCCCGGATATTTTTCTATATATTTTTAGTTGGCCAATTAATTTCTTTCTATTTTTAGTAGAGACAGGGTCTCGCTCTTGCTCAGGCTGGTTTTGAACTCCTGAGCTCAAACGATCCACTCGCTTCAGCTTCCCAGAGTGCTAGGATAACAGGCATGAACCCCTGTGCCCAGCCTGAAAGGACTTTCTGACAGCTAAAGCAAACCCCAAACACATCCCATCTTCATGCTCTTAAATTTATCTCTCAATGGTCACTGAACTAACCTCTGTCCATCCTGACATTCATCACCCCACCCCAACCTCCCCACCCCAACCTCCATCCTCTGGGGCAATCTAAGGCTTGTTGTTTACTAGATAATACTTTTTTTTTTTTTTTTTTTGAGACAGAGTCTCGCTTTGTTGCCCAGGCTAGTGTGAGTGCCGTGGCATCAGCCTAGCTCACAGCAACCTCAAACTCCTGGGCTCGAGCGATCCTTCTGTCTCAGCCTCCCGAGTAGCTGGGACTACAGGCATGCGCCACCATGCCCGGCTAATTTTTTATATATATATCAGTTGGCCAATTAGTTTCTTTCTATTTATAGTAGAGACGGGGTCTCGCTCTTGCTCAGGCTGGTTTCGAACTCCTGACCTTAAGCAATCCGCCCACCTCGGCCTCCCAGAGAGCTAGGATTACAGGCGTGAGCCACCGCGCCCGGCCTACAAAATGTTTTGAGACCATTAGAGCAAGAATGACTATCCTCATTTTTAAAAGGTGGGACTTGAGGTAAAGTGACTTGTCCAAGGTCATATAGCTAGGAAATGGCAGAACTAGCATTGAAATCCAGTGTAATTTTTGGAAAAATTCAGGGAATCTAACTTCATGTAGCAGAGAGTAGACTCAAAACATTTGTGTTCAAAGCGGTGATATAGCTAGGAAAGGCAAGGCAAATAGTTTCAAAGGAGAGTTTAGAGAAATTTTAGGATGACAGATCCAAAAGTAATTATTAAAGGCACTCAGGTATAGGGGGACATCCCTCTACTGGGAGAAGTCCACCATGGTCCTTCTCCACCAACTTGAAGCAAGGCTTCCTGCTGAATAGGAAAAGTCCCTCAAGCAAAAGTCTCTCTGGGATTCCCCATTGATACCAGTGGTGTAAAGACCAGGACAGAGCTTGGATAGGCACCTCCAGCTGTTGACTGGGTCTGGACATAGAGGAAAAAGTGCTTGGATCAAGATCTGTTGACTTCTTTCACTTCTCACTAACAGGGTCAGGTGCCCGCCTCACCTGTAGGCTCTAACTAATTTTGCATTTTTGAATTGTGTTGTTTCTGCATCCCTGCTGATGAGCCACTAGTCCCATAGTACATATGCATGTATGCAGACCGGTATGTGCATTGTCATTCATACAATAAAAAATTTACTGAGTACCTTTTGAGTGCCAGGCACTTTGTTAGATGTTGGAGATATGGTGGAGGGAGTGGGGGAACAACAGACAGACATGCCACTGTTTTCATAGAGGTCACTATCTAGTTGGGGAGACAATAATCAAGTAAACAACTAAATAAAATAACTGGAAATATGTGCTATGTGGGGGAAAAAACATGGTGCTGTGATCATTAATAATATTAATAGCAGAGTTGGGGATAGGAATCTATCAGATACTGTTCAGATAAAGCCTTTCCAAGAAGGTGACATTTCAGTTGAGAATTGAAGGATGAGAAGGGACTAACCAAGGGGCCCTCCTCAGCCTGAGGCCAGGTGAGGGGAGTTCGGGGTAGAGATGGAAAAGGATGATAGGAGTATCCAGTAAGCCTAGGTTCTCCTCCTGTTCTTTCTACCCTGTTCCCCCCTCCTAGGGCTTTCCCTCCCTTCCTGTACTCCTACCTACCTGTCCCACGCTAGTCCCTCCAGATACCAGGTAGGGGTGTCTCCTGTCCCCATCTTGAGCTGTTCATAGTTCTTCCCTTTTCATTCCCATCTTCCTCTCCCTACAGATCCCATGGAACCAAGGAGTTGACTTGTGGTGGCATGAACTCATGCAAGAGGCAGGGGATGAGTGTGAGCCTGAGTGGTATGATGCTGAGGACCCACTCTTCATCCTGTACACTAGTGGCTCCACAGGCAAACCCAAGGCAAGTGTGTGTGTGTGTTGTATGTATTGTATAGGGGTGAGAAGTGAGTTTTTGAGGAAACACATAATGCTATGAATTTTTGTCTACAACTCTGAGTTTCAGAAATGTAACATTACCTTTTCTACATCAAATTAAGACATAAATCCTAAATCACTAGGTAGTGAAGCCCAGAGTAAGACAGTTTGAGGGTGAGGGCTTCCATGGTGCCCAGTCTCTCTGGGAAACCCCATTGATACCAGAGGTGTAAAGACAGGGGCAGAGCTTGCATAGGAACCTCCAGCTGTGGATCGTGTCTGGACATGAAAGGGGGAAAGGATCAATCTATGTGGCTGACATGGATGTTTCTTCCCCATGCCCATGTGGTATGGTTGAAGGAGAGCTGTCCTGTCACCTCAGGTCAAGAGTGGGTAACAGGAATCTCTCTTGGGCTTCTAAGAACAAGTTTGGCTTCTGAACTCTTAGAGTTCAGTTCCTTCCACATGGTATACTATTACATCCAATCCTCTTTCAGGTCATGGTGTGGGAGCTGAAAACACTTAAGAAAACTCTGACTCTTCCATTGACTTGAAATCTATGTCACTCTCCCTTCCACCTACCCTATCCCTAAGTTCTTCTCTCAATATACTTTGGAATATCCCTCAGTCGGCCTTTAGAAACACAGTTTTGGCCTGTCCTTCCTAGGGATGGGGTAGGGATGGAGTAAGAAAAGGGGATTGTCTTTTTCCCCCTACTCACTCTGCTATTGTGTAATTGAATGTGTGGGCACAAATACATAACAGAGAGACTATTAGGTGTGAGTGTGCTAGTAGTGTTCATGTGTGTGAGAGTGATGTGGGTGGCTTTGAAAAATGCCATCTGAGGTTTCAGGTGTGAATGATGGACTGACATACATGTGTAACATCAGAAGTATGATAAATAAGATGAGATGGGAGCATGGAGAAAAGGAAATGGAAGAGAGATGAATGCTGTGAAGGAGATGCTGGAAGGGTCAGAGGAGGATCTTGCTCTAGCTCTGCCCAGCCTCTGTTTGGTGATCAGTTGGGGTGGGCAGAAGGCCTCAACCTGAGGCCCCATTCTTCCCACAGGGTGTGGTTCACACAGCTGGGGGCTACATGCTCTATGTTGCCACAACCTTCAAGTATGTGTTTGACTTCCACGCGGAGGATGTGTTCTGGTGCACAGCAGACATTGGCTGGATCACTGGCCATTCCTACGTCACCTATGGGCCACTGGCCAATGGTGCCACCAGTGTTTTGGTGAGAAGGGAGCTGGGATCCATGGCTACCTGGCCAAGCTGGGGGATGGACAAGACTATCCTGGGTGACTACCTCCAAAGGCTACTTGGTCTAGAGGCAGGGGGACTTATATAGTGATCTGTCTCCCAGATAAAGAAAAGTCCTTAGGGGGTTGTGTATCCTGACAAAGAAGGTCTCTTGGCTTATCTGGTCAGGGAGTGAAGACACAGTTTGTCAGAATGGGAAAAATACTGAACCTGAGGAAATGGTGGGGAATGGAGGGACTATTGGGAAGGACCGTGAATGACCAACCTTCACTTGGGGTCAGTTTGAGGGGATCCCTACATACCCAGATGTGAGCCGCCTGTGGAGCATTGTGGACAAATACAAGGTGACCAAGTTCTACACAGCACCCACAGCCATCCGTCTGCTCATGAAGTATGGAGATGAGCCTGTCACCAAGTGAGACCCCTTCCCAGTTGCTGCCCCATGGGCATCCCTCAGAGCCAGGTGCTGGCCTTTGTATACAGTCTTTTCCTTTCCATTGTCCCAACTCCCTGACCTTGAATAGGGGAGGGGGCAAGAAAAGAGCCTGGGCATGTATAACCTAGCTCCCAGTGGTACTTACAGACTTCCTTTTCCTATTCTCCTGCCCAAGGCATAGCCGGGCATCTTTGCAGGTACTAGGCACAGTGGGTGAACCCATCAACCCAGAGGCCTGGCTGTGGTACCACCGGGTGGTAGGTGCCCAGCGTTGTCCCATCGTGGATACCTTCTGGCAAACAGAGACAGTGAGTGAGGGGTTCAGAAGGCTGGGGCTCAGGAACAGCGTGGGAAGACTGACTCAAACCTCTGATCTCTGACTTCCATAGGGTGGCCACATGCTGACTCCCCTCCCGGGTGCCACACCCATGAAGCCTGGTTCTGCTGTGAGTGAGGCTCTCCTGGCTGGTCCTGGGCTAAGCAGGGGTAGCATCTTGGGGCATTTGGCCTTGTTAGACAGTGGGAGACTAGACTGATGTATATGTGAGGAATTTGGGGCTCTGGGGCTCCGTGGGAGTTGAGTCAGAGTTGCCTCATTCCTCTTCTTGGGTTTGTCCTCTGTTTGCTTCTAGACCTTCCCGTTCTTTGGTGTAGCTCCTGCAATCCTGAATGAGTCTGGGGAGGAGTTGGAAGGTGAAGCTGAAGGTTATCTGGTGAGGCCCTGGTCCTTGGCGGTCTTTACAAAGGGGAAAGCGTCCACCAAGGGTACTTGGCTTCCACATTTATAACCTAATCTCACCTAGTAGTTGCTTAGGACGGAAGCTTCATGGTTGGGGGTTTGTTCTCTGTTGATAGACCCTGGGGGAAATCCTCTGGATACTCTTGATACTTGGCCTGAATCTCTGCCTTTTGGCCCATGAGGCTTTTAAGGGCCTTTTTAGAATCTGCTCCAACTCCTGATGGTACCTTTTTGGGGCTGGAAGACTTAATACCAACTCTTCCTTTGACAAACATTTTGGAAAAAAGAGACTTCATAACAGTGGAAAATCACATAGACTCTGGAGTCAGCCTGCCTGGGTTCAAATCCTGGCTCTGCCTCTTTTATGACGTCAGATAAGTTACCTAACCACTCTGAACCTAAATTTTCTCATTTGTAAAACAGGGATATAATAATGCCTTTGTCTCCCATGGTTGTTTGATTAAATTAGATGATCCATGTAAAGGAGTTAGCACAGAACCTGATAGTTGGTAATTGATAAACTGGCTGTTGTGATTGTTATATTACCATATTTCCCCGAAAATAAGACAGGGTCTTAAATTTATTTTTCCTCAAGAAGACACCCTAGGGCTTATTTTCAGGGGATATGTTATTTTCCCCTCAAAGCCTCAGCTTGCAGCACGTATAGGATGGCTGGGACCTGATGGGGAACTGACTTTGTTGGTGGGGCTGCCCGTACCTTTCCAGTCACCTTTGGCATAGTAGCTGTCACGATGGGGCAGATGAGAAGGGCTGCTTGTCTTCTTTACCACTCTGTGACAAAATGCATGGGTTGTGCAGATACACTATGTAGCCATGCCCATCACTAGGTCTTATTTTCGGGGTAGGGCTTATATTGTGCAAATGCTTAGAAATCCTGCTAGGGCTTATTTTATGGGTAGGTCTTATTTTCGGGGAAACACTGTAGTACTTGTGAGGACCTCACCAGCCACCCCCACCACCCCACCCCATTTCACTTTCTCAAGAGCAAATTAGTAACAGGGGCAGGACTTAAATCCAGGCCTTTTTTTAGCCAGTCAAATTTAGCAGTGGGAGTTGAATACCAACAAATTCAGGCCTTTTAACTCTTTTTTTTTTTTTTTTTGAGACAGAGTCTCACTCTGTTGCCCGGGCTAGAGTGCCATGGCATCAGCTTAGCTCACAGCAACCTCAAACTCCTGGGCTTATGCAATCCTGCCTCAGCCTCCTGAGTAGCTGGGACTACAGGCCTGCACCACTGTTCCCGGCTAATTTTTTCTATATATTTTTAGTTGTCCAGCGAATTTCTTTCTATTTTTAGTAGACATGGAGTCTCACTTTTGCTCAGGCTGGTCTCAAACTCTCGAGCTCAAAAGATCCACCCACCTTGGCCTCTCAGAGTGCTAGGATTACAGGCGTGAGCCACTGTGCCTTGCCCAGGCCTTCTAACTCTTAGCCTAGAATTCCATCCCATCCCATCAATCTGCTGCCCCAGAATGTTACTGTTTAAGCAATAATTATTTACTTGTGTGTGGGTCCTACTTTTTTATATGACTGTTTTCATTTGGATCAAACTGGACCTGCTTTCCTGAGGTATTAGCCGAAAGGAGATTCAAATTTACTAAATGCTTATCACTAATAGAACACTGTGCTAGGCAATTTCCATATACTGTTAATTTAATCCCCACAATAACTTTGGAAGATAGAAATTATTTTCTCTGATTTACAGATAAGGATCCTGAAGCTCAGAGAGATGAATTACTTCCCTGAGGTCACCTAGCTAGTAAGTGGTAGAGTTGGGATTCCAAGCCAGGATCATCTATCTCTAATGCCTGCACTTTGTCCTACATCTCAGGAATGGCAGTCAGGATACTTTCCCTCAGGTTTAGCAAAGCTGTGATTATCTTCCAGTGAGGCAGCATAGCCGATATGATCACTGTGCCTTCCTCACTCCCCAGGTGTTCAAGCAGCCCTGGCCAGGGATCATGCGTACAGTCTATGGGAACCACGAACGCTTTGAGACCACCTACTTTAAGAAGTTCCCTGGGTACTATGTGACGGGAGATGGTGAGCCTTGGCTATCCCCTTCCCACATCTCCTACTAAGACATGTACCTTTCTCTTCCATTTTTAGGAAGAGTTGGTTAGGGGTGAAGAAGAACAGAGAAGAACGTGTCCTACATATCAGTGTCTGGTATCCAGGCAGAGCTACAGAGAAGACTGTAAGAGCAGGAATGAGTATTGCAGGAAGGGTCTCAGCATGGTGCCATCTGAGATTTGATGTATGAGGAAAGAGGTTCTCCCTCTTTCTTGCTCCTGTGTTTTAAGAGATGGGGCATGTGGCAGTGTGTATTATTATGTCATGTGTCCCATGTTTGCAGCCTGTTTGTTTATCTGTCCATCCACCAATCCATTCATCCATAATATTTGAGTACCTACTGTGCCCAGGTGCTGATCTAAGCACAGGAGATATTACCATGAATAATTTAGTGAAAATCTCTGTTCTCATGGGGCTTACAGTCTAGTAAGGGGAGATAGACAGTAAACCCAGCAAAAAAGCCTATCTTTGACAGAGATAAGCACTATGAAGAAAAATAAATAGGCTAATGTGATAAAGAGTGCTCACAGGGATGTCTGCTGTTTATGGGATGGTCAGAGAAGGCTTCTCTGAAGTGACATTTGAGCAAAGACCTGAAGGGTGAAAAGGAACCAGGCATAGGGAAATCTAGAGTAAGAGTGTTCTGTATAAAGGAACACAAACTTGAAATGTCTGAGAAATGGACTGACCCTGTGTAGCTGGAGGGTAGCAAGCAAAGGGAATATTATATGAAGTTGAAGAGGTAGGTAATATACCATGGGCCATGGTCAGGAGTGTGGATTTTATTCAAAGTACAGTGGGAGACCTTTAGAAGTTTTAAGCAGGGGAATGGTAAGAACTGATTTACTATTTAGAAAATAACTTTACCTGATTTATGGAGAATAGACTTTAGGTGGGTATATTAGTTTATTTATTGCCATAGAACAAATTGCCTCAAAAGTTGGCAGCTTAAAACAATAAAAACATTATTCCACACAGTTTCTGAGGATTAGAAATCTGTGAGCAGCTTTGCTGAGTGGTTCTCATTTAAGGTTGCAGTTGAGCTGTTGGTAGGGGCTGCAGTCCCCTGAAGATTTGACTGATCCTAGAGGACCTACTTCTATGCTCACTCTTGTGGCTGTTGGCAGGAATTCTCAGTTCCTCACCACAGAGAACTCTCACAACATGGCAGCTGGCTTACCCAAGCAAATGATCTGAGAGCATGCAACCAAGACAGAAGCTACAGTGTCTTCTATAATCTAATCTCAGAAGTGACATCCCATCACTTCTGCCAAATTCTTTTTTTTTTTTTTTTTTGAGACAGAGTCTCGCTTTGTTGTCCAGGCTAGAGTGAGTGCCGTGGCGTCAGCCTAGCTCACAGCAACCTCAAACTCCTGGGCTCAAGCGATCCTCCTGCGTCAGCCTCCCGAGTAGCTGGGACTACAGGCATGTGCCACCATGCCCGGCTAATTTTTTTTTTTATATATATATATCAGTTGGCCAATTAATTTCTTTCTATTTATAGTAGAGACGGGGTCTCGCTCTTGCTCAGGCTGGTTTTGAACTCCTGACCTTGAGCAATCCGCCCGCCTCGGCCTCCCAAGAGCTAGGTACTTCTGCCAAATTCTGTTGATCACACAGACAAACTCTAGTACAATGAGAAAGACTGTACAGGTCTATGAATATCAAGAGGCAGAGAAAAATGTGGTCATTTTGGGAGCTGGCTACCACAGTGGCCAAGAATGGAAGCAGGAAGACTTGTTAGAAGGTTATAGCAGTGAGTGTGGCAGTTTGTATATATATGGATCAGGTATCCTACTGTGGGGCATTTATTATGTTGTGTATTCTTCCCAGGCTGCCGGCGGGATCAGGATGGCTATTACTGGATCACTGGCAGGATTGATGATATGCTCAATGTATCTGGTGAGGGCCAGGGACCACTTTCCCATCTCATTAGCTTTGTTCTGGAAACTCCCAGCCACAGCCTTTCGAGAGAGCCAGAGTGTCTTTTGGCCAGACCATGTATGAAATGGGGCATTCAGTTTTGGGCCAAGGTTTTGGAGGAATAGTGATGAACACTGGAGTATGTCTAGAGAAGGGGAGCTGGGATGGTAGGGTAACTGGAAGCATGATATATGAGGAATGAATGAAGGGCCTTCTCCATTTGACCACACCAGGACTGCCTCATGGGAACAGGAGGAGCAAGGGCTGTGGGGAGGCTGGGATCTCTCTCATGGCACTTCCTTTCCCTTGTCAAGGACACCTGCTGAGTACAGCGGAGGTGGAATCAGCACTTGTGGAACATGAAGCTGTTGCAGAGGCAGCTGTGGTAGGCCACCCTCATCCTGTGAAGGGTGAATGCCTCTACTGCTTTGTCACCCTATGTGATGGCCACACCTTCAGCCCTACCCTCACCGAGGAGCTCAAGAAGCAGAGTGAGCAGCCTCCCTGGGCAGGGACTACGGAATCTGTCTTAGAGGCTCATTGCAAGTTTTTGGGGAGGGGCTGGAGTAAGCTGCTCCCTGAACCATGAACAGATCCCATGGGGCCCCATGGGCTGATTGCCCTCTTCCCACTTAGTCTCTACTAGGATAATAATAATAACCAACATTTATAGAATACTTTGTGCCACCATCAGGCTAAGTACTTTAAATGCATTACTCCATTTAATCCCTACAATCATTCCTATGAAACAGATCTTATTGTTACTGTCACTCTAAAGATGAAGAAACTGAGACTAGAGGAGTTAAATAACTTGCCCACGGCCATACCACTAGAAAGCTAGGATTTAAACTAGTAGGCTGGTTCTAGAGCCTGAGTTCCATGAAGGTGGGTTAAGATAAAATGAGAGAGTAAAGAGACATTGTGTTGAGGAGTGGGGAGGGAGAAAGAAGGGCAGTAAACCTGAGAATGATTCTGTGGGCAGGGCCTTGAAGAGAAAACAGGTGGGGAACACAGCCATCTTATCTTGGTTTTTGGATGTCTGGCTAAGGGTGCTGAAGAAATGTTTAATGATTTGTTTGTTACAGTTAGAGAAAAGATTGGCCCCATTGCCACACCGGACTACATCCAGAATGCACCTGGCTTGCCTAAAACCCGCTCAGGTATGTTCAGAGGGGATTGGAATGGGCCAAGGCCCAGTGGTGGTAGGGTGTGTGTGGATGAAAACCTTTGGCAAGGCTGGTGTGGGTCACTGCTGTTACCAAGTAACCAGAGGCCTGTGGTCCCCCAGGAAAAATCATGAGGCGAGTACTTCGGAAGATTGCTCAGAATGACCGTGACCTGGGGGATACGTCTACTGTGGCAGACCCATCTGTCATCAGTCACCTCTTCAGCCACCGCTGCCTGACCACACAGTGAACAAGATCCTGTCCTTTACCCAGGATTCCCCCTGCTTGGCTCTCCTAAGTTTTGCCTATTCTCTCTCCCCTGCCCCAGAAGTGCTGAGGGCCAGGGCTGATCCACACTATATCTACCTTGACCAGCTGTCTGGGACTGGAAACCAGCTTTGGCCCTATATGGAGACAACTTTTTTTGACTGCCAGTCAGAAGGGACAGGGCCCAGGTCAGCCTCAGACTGCTGTGCCCCCAGACTGCAAAGAGTTCTCACAGCCCAGAACAGGGATATAAAGGCTACCTCTCTAACCCAAGTTAAATGTCCAGAGGGTATGTGAGGACCTAGACTGAAGCAGGGAGACAGCTATGTAATCTTGTCAGCTCTCTCAGGAAGCACCATTACTTATATTGGGCATGCACTTGCCCTTAGACACGATGGTTTGTGAGTTCAGGAACAATTTATTATTTTTAAAATATTTTGCTGCTTCTGTTCAGGGTCTGAATTCCCTTTAGTGCCAGATGGCAGTATTGTCTGCCAGGAGCTGTATGGACAGGTTCAGTCTCCAGGGGGTTTTCAGATCATCTTTTTCTTTGAAGGAGTAGATATGTTTTTTCCTAGAGCCAGCGGAGGAGCTTGTGTTCCTTGTACTCTGTTCCTACCCTCCCTGAACAGAGCCCTGCCCATGAGAGACACTCTCAGATGAAACTCTTTTCTTGCCCTAGTGATGCTCAAGCCCTGTGGTTGTAGGAATAAAGTCTGTGACCTCAAGAAGGTGGTGACTTCTTTTTTTAGGTATCCGTGTAGTAAGGCTGTATAGTCGTTAGCTGCTCTGATTTGTGTGGGAGATGGGAAGGGGAGTGGTATTCCCCAGACTATCCCAATCTTTCTTCCAGAACTTTTGGTTTGGGTAGAGCTAGGCAGAGCTTCACTCAAAGGCCCTTTCACAAGTCCCTGAGTTAAGTAGGAAAGTGATTAAAGCCAGTTCACAACTGTGATGTCCGGTTATGTTGTCTTCCCTCCTGGGCTCCTGCCAGGAACCTTCTCTATTCCTCATGATCCTGGGGGTACATTAATGAGTGACTAAAGATTGGAACTTCAGGCTCTGGGTCTAAGAAGACCCTTATTATAGCCTAGTCACCTCCCCTGCTTCAATCCACCTTAAGTGGACTGACCTAGATTATAGCTCCCCCCTCCCCTCTGCCACAAAGCAAGGAATCACTGAATCAGCAATGCAGTTTTATTTAAAGCAGAGCTGGGGAAAGGCTATGCCCCTTCACTCCCTCTCCTCCCACCACTTGGTCCTATCCCAAGTCAGGCACTGGAGCTCTCTGAAAAGGCTTGATGAGAGGCTTACAGGAGTGGGGCAGGGTTTTGTGGACCTTTATCTTAGAGCAGCTTCCCTTCAGCTGTACCTACATCCCAAGGATTTGGGGGCCTCTAGATCTTAGGGAAATAGAGCTTTGTTCATCCTCAGATGGAAAGCTGGGGGAAGGTTCCAGCATTTACCCTTCCATAAGGGCAGCCCCTCGAGAGGGATAGGAGAGGAATGACAAGTACAGGGGATAGGAGGTCTCTTGAGCGAAGTTGGAGCTGGCCTGGTTGTGCCTTCACACAGGGTATGGGTTGTCCAGGACTGCCACTCCTGCTGCCACACCACCATCTGCATGCTCGATGGCTTTGGTTCGAAGTAGATGCCCCACGTGCTTGTTCATCACAAGTGTCTTTCCCTGCCTATAGAAATGTGGGCAGGAGACAAACATCACCACCTGGACTCAGCCCAAACCCAGGACCTTTCCTGGTCCCAGCCAAACAGTATATGGGTAACTGACTATATTTAAGAAACTGCTAGGATTTTAGAGTCTCTCTTCCTCCCTGGACTTTTTCTGGTCCTGGATTGTCAGGCCATATTTTTTCAGTCCCCTTGGTACCACCCGAAATTTCCTTTGTAGTTCCAAAGCACTTCTCATGTGGGTTTCATTTCATAGCCCTGTGAGGTAGGCAGGTCTTAGGTCCTTGACTTCATTTAATAGTACAAAAACAGGTAGCAAACCTAGGGATTGGCAGAGCTGAGACTAAAGCCCAGGATTCCAGATTCTGTCCAGTGTTCCCTCTAGGCTCGCTTGGCTGTCACTCTTATAGGGAGGTAGTGGAAGGAGCTCCTCCTGACTGGCTCACCTGACATAGACCCCAAAGATGCCCAGTTCTGAGATGCACTGGACCACTCGGGCAGGGCTACCAGGCCGTAGAAGGCAATTCCCAAAAGGCTCAGGTTCAATCTTCTCCATGAGGATGTAGGAGGCTCTCTCCTCACTGTTCTTCAGCCGCTCCAGGGCCTGTACCATATTCTCTCCATACAGGTTGTTACCTACAATTAAACTGGCCAGTCACCCTGGACCCTCTGCTCACCTCCTCTACCCCATGCCCTCACTTCTGGGGCCATGTGGGCGAGTCAGCAGCCTCAGTTCCTGAAACCAGCTCAGTGAAGCCCAGGGCACATCTGACTCCCAAGGAGGGAAGGTCACCTGGACAGGAGAGCCCTTATTCATGCAATTGAACACACCTTCCACCACACTGTCCTGCCCTGGTTCTCCTCCTACTTGTCTATAGCTATTCCTACTCAGCCTCTAGTACTGGCTCCTTCTCCTCTTAAATGTTGGGGTTCCCTAGGAATTGGTCCTCCCCCCGTGCTCTCTCCTCCATGTATCTTTTTTTCAGGGAGATCTCTTCCATTCTCAAGGCTCTACCTATTCTCTATAAATTATTTGCTCCCAAATCTTTAACTTTACTCCCTGCTTTAGACATCACATAAATGTCCCATGGGCTCCCCCCAAACAAAATGTCCAAACAAAATTATTACTTCTGCCTGAACCTGCCCCTCATGGACCTTCCTACTGTCAGTCAGGCAAAAGGCATCCCTGAAGATATTTAACTCCTCCCTCTCCATCACCTCTGGCATTAACTTGGACATGTCTCTCCAGTCTGTGCTCCAAATTTATAGCCCTAGACTGGGCCTCTACATCGCTCTTCTGGATGACTGTGCCAGCCTCCTCCATGGTCTCTCTGCCACCAATGTCTCCCTTCATTCCAGAACATCTTCTACAATGACTGAAACACTGTTGAGTTTTCCAAGTTCCTACCACCACTAACAACTTGAAATCTGGATGAATAATGTGTCCCTTCCCTGCTTAAAACTCTCTTAATGGCTTAAACTCTCTCTTCCCACTACTCTTAGGATAAAATTCAAATTTTTAACATATATTCAGTGCCCTTAATAATCAGGCCCCAAACTATCTTCTCCAGCCCAATCCCTGCCTCTTGCCATCTCTCTCTCTAGCCTTACCAGTTTCTCATTAATCTCCAAACATACTATGCTTTCATGGCCCAGTGCCTTTGCTTGAAGTTGTTCCTTCTGTATAGAATGCTCTTCCCCTTTTCCACCTGGGAAACTCCTACACACACACCCTTAAGTCCAAGTTAAAAAATCATCTCCTCTGACTCTGTGAAGCAGACATAATCCCTGCCCTCAAGGAGTTTCAAACTAGACAGAAAGATAGATACATATTCTCTCCAACCTCCTGATATGCCCCCACCCTGCTTCCCCACAATTTATCCCCAGGCACCTCAGACTAAACTTGTCCAAACCCTTCAGTGCTGGTTAATCAGATTTCTCTGTACTCCACAGCACTTGGTCACAGAGTCTCGAGGGATACTGTCCAAGGTGGGACGTGTACCAGTTCCCCTAGTACCCGCTTGCTTGGGACTGTGCCCATAGAAAATGGTGGTAAGCACTGGTGATAGCCTATTAGCCCCTTTCATTGAGCAGCCCTGCAGAGGGAGATCCACTTACCTCCACCCTCTCTCTGGGGCTTTAGCACAAACTGGCTAGGGGCAGCAAGGGCCTCAGTGATGGCCTGGTCCCCTTCTTCACCCTGGCAGGAGGCAGAAAGCAGTTATCAGCAGTTTCAGGGCTAAAGAGACAAGGATTGAGGTCCTGTTGGTTGTGCAGAGCAGCATCAGAGGAAGAGCAGGAAGGGGAACAGCTAGAAGTTCCTTTAGGCTGATGCTACTATCTGTGTGTGACTCCCAGCAAACTCCCTGCAGCAGCAAATGCAATGAGAACAGGCCTTTCTCTGGCAACTGTTCAGGCCTTTGCAGCAGGTGGCCTTTAAAGTGGGTATAGATGTTCTTCAATTCTTGCTGTCTGCCTTCGTTCCTTCCCCTGGTTGCCATCTTCATCGCTACCTTTGTTGAGGAAGCTTTTAATAGATTCCAGCCTCTGTCCTCCCATCATGAGGCTGCCCTTCTCCCCAGGACTAGGGGTTCTCTAGAGCAAAACCAACCGAAGTCACAAATGCTAGCCCCAGTGCCAGCTCTAGCCTCCCAACACATTGGGCTCCAGGTCTCTGCCACCTAGGAGGCCTGTGGTAGGAGAAATGGGCTGCCCACGTACCATGTCCAATGAGTAGAGGCCAGCAAAAGTGGCACGGAGGCGGGCCACAACCTCAGCCTGGCCAGGGAGCAACACCTCCAGTATGCCCACCCTACTCAGCTCCTGCTGCACCTTCTTTGTCCCAGCCAGCTGAGTGGCAATGTCCGGGCACTTGACAGCACATGACCTCTCCAGCAGCAGGCGTGCTTCCCAGTTCTGTGGAGGGAAGAAGACAAAAGGAATTCTACTTTATTTCACTTCAGTTGACCTTTACCGAACATCCATCAGGTGCCAGGTATCATGCTTTATATCTTCACATTCATTATCACCCAGGATCACTGCAACATCCTTGTGAGGTAGGTGTGACCTCTCCCAATCTCTGGGATTCTTGCCTTTGGGGAGGGCTCACAGTCTAGCACAATGATACATAACTATAACTAAAATGGAAAATGAGGCCGGGCATGGTGGCTCACACCTGTAATCCTAGCACTCTGGGAGGCCGAGGCGGGCAGTTTGCTCGAGGTCAGGAGTTCAAAACCAGCCTGAGCAAGAGCGAGACCCCGTCTCTACTATAAATAGAAAGAAATTAATTGGCCAACTAATATATATAGAAAAAAATTAGCCAGGCATGTTGGCGTATGCCTGTAGTCCCAGCTACTCGGGAGGCTGAGACAGTAGGATTGCTTGAGCCCGAGTTTGAGGTTGCGGTGAGTTAGGCTGACACCACGGCACTCAGTCTAGCCTGGGCAACAAAGTAAGACTCTGTCTCAAAAAATAAATAAATAAATAAAATGGAAAATGATAAAAGGTGTAAGGGTGTAGAAAAATTGATGAGTAGGTTTGTTTATGAGCTTAGCTTCCTACTGCATTCCAAATAAAATCCTAACTAACTCTTTACCACAGCCTACAAGACCCTGCAGGATCTGGCTCTTGTCCATCTTTTGAACCTTGTACCATGCCACCCCCTCTCTCTCCCCCACCACTCCCACATTCTAGCCACACACCTATCATTCCTCAAATCACAAACCTCATTTCTTCCTAAGGGCCTTTATTGCTTTTCCCTCATCCTGAAATTCCCTTCCTTTTGGCTTTTTCCATGGATAGTTGGATCCTTCTGATCCTTAAGTCTTAGCTCAAAGTCACCTTTTCAGAGAAGCCTTCCTTAACCACCCTATTTAACATGGGTTTCTCATAATTCTCTTTTTACCGTTTCATTCAAAGCAGTTACCCAAAACTAAAAACAAAACAACCTCCCACCCCACAAAAACACTTTTCTATTTTTGTTTACTTTCTGATTCCCACATCCATGACCAGACTGTGAGCTCCATAAGGATAGGACTCTTGTTGTTTGCCTTGTTTTCTGGTGCATCCTCAGTGTCTATTTGTTATTATTGCTGAATGAGGTGAAATTTGAGTGGGGTCCTAAAGAACAGGTAGAGTCTGACAGGTGAGAGGCAGTGGAGAAGGGGTGCCCGCACGTAGGTGATCACAGAATGAATGGTCTGTTGTGCCAGGAGCTGAGGGTATAAGAGGCAGGGAAACATCAGAGGATCATACCTCACAGCTATGGTTCCAATTCCCAGGTAATAGGGAGACAGTCTGTTCTTGGCTCCAGATCACAGCAAACTGCCCACAGCAAGATCAAGGATATGGCCCGAGGAGCAACCCACCTACCCAGTGCTGTCCTTTAATATAATCAGTCCATCTGTAGAACCTTTACCTGATCTTCACCAATAACCCCAGCTACCTACTAGTGGCTACTAGTCTGGTGTTCCAGGCAGGGTCACAGGTGCCCAGAATATCAAAGATATACCCAGGGAAGTACCCCATTATATTAGAAGCAGGGAAAGTAAAACCTAAAGATGAGCAGGGACTTTCCCAGGATCACCTAGCAAGTCACTATGCATTGCAGATCTGTCTCCATATCTAAATCTAAACCTGGTCTGAACTTCTGTTCCCTGAAAATGTCTACCTCCTTATATGCTACTTTCCTTCTTTGTTAGCTCAGCCTATTCTCCGTTTAAGTTTTCTTTGTCCTGTCTTGAAATCTCGATTCATTTTCCCAATAGACAGTCTCTTCCTCTCTAGTCAACAAGTTCTCACCATTGCTATAGAGGAAAGGGCCTTCTATAGAGCTGTGACCTCTGTAGAGCTCCCCCAAATAAAGCTCAATGCTAGGGGGAATCCTAGATGAATTATGGACTTGGAAGGGGCTCCCTCAGATCCAGAGTCAGGAAACTGCATATGGTCACACACAGGCAGAGTCAGGTTCATGACCCCAAGCTCACTGCCCATGGTATTTCCTAACTTATTTCCTCCTTTACCTTCTCCCAACTGAAAGCCGAGCTTAGCCTCTCCATGGTGTGGATGTTAGGAGCAGGGGAGAAGAAAGGCGTACTGGGAATACCATCAGCCTGAGAGTCAGAAAGCCTGGGTACTTAATGGGGATAACTATATGTCTTACAGGGTGGTTAAATGAAATATTGGATGAGGAAAGTAATTTTGAAACTACATGGTAGGATAGCAAGATGAGGTGGTATGACTCATTAACAGGAATGAGCAGATGAAAAAAACTTTATTTTCTTTCTTTTTTTTTGAGACAGTGTCTTACTTTTGTTGCTCAGGCTAGAATGAGTGCCGTGGTGTCAGCCTAGCTCACAGCAACCTCAAATTCCTGGGCTCAAGCAATCCTTCTGCCTCAGCCTCCCGAGTAGCTGGGACTACAGGCATGGGCCACCATGCCCAGCTATTTTTTTCTATATATATTAGTTGGCCAATTAATTTCTTTTTATTTATAGTAGAGACAGGGTCTCGCTCTTGCTTAGGCTGGTTTTGAACTCTTGACCTTGAGCAATCCACCTGCCTCGGCCTCCCAGAGTGTTAGGATTACAGGTGTGAGCCACTGCGCCAGGCGAAAAAAACTTTCTGATTCAAATAAAAAAGAGGTAAGAGTTGGCAGAAAGAAAATGGTCAGCAGTATGCTAGAACTGGTTGCATCAACTAGCAAGGCTGATTGTACTATGTTCAGAGACATTAAGAGGAGTAGCTCGAAATTGGCCATGTGGGAGTATTTACACTATAGAAATCAGCAAGTGCTACAAGCTAGGGCTCTTTCCCTTTAGAAAGATGGTTAAATATTTACCAGCATATCTCTGGAAACAGTGTGAATGGCTGAGGCACTGTGGATTCCTAAGGATTCAGATTCTTGAAGACAATGTGTTTATAGAGTGAGAGGCAGCAAAAAGCTTACAGGAGGTAGGAGGTTCCAGCAATAAGTTTCCTGAGGAAGAACTGAAGCTAGGATTCAAGAGAAAAACCCAGGTTGTTGTGACACCTGAGTTGGGTCTCTGTGGAGTTCTGGTGGGTCCCAGGAGGCAAAGAATGCTCTAACAGAAAATACCAACCTGTAGACTGTACTGACTCGGCATGTAGCCATCCCGGAAGTAAACCACAGCAACTTCTTGGCCCTCCCTAGAACACAGGGTGGAGAAAGCTGCTGTGTTAAATTATAAATCGTATATGTTCACTGGTTTAATCTATTTCAGGGTACATCAAAATGAATTTGGCTTTTTTGAAAGTCAGTCCACAGGAGGAGCCTGATCAGGGGTTCACTGGAACCAGTGAAAGTAGATACCCCACTACCAATGCTTCCACTAAAAACACAGAGTTGTACAGTAAGGAATACCTGAGAATATTCCAGATTAGAGTCATTCAGGAAGGCCAGATGGGAAACAAGAAGGTAATCAGAATCAAATTAAGTAAATTAAAAAAAATGTGGGCTTGAAATTACTGAGCAACAGAATCACATTGCCATGCTTAGCAAAACACACTTGTATTTCCACTGCTTAAAGTAGTTGAAACCCGGCTAAGATTTTTTAAAATGGCAAAGGTGAAGGTAGAAATGCAAAGGAGATGGAAAATTATGAGTCTAGTTAAGACATAGACAGTCTTTTTAAATTTCTTTCCCTTTCCTCTGACTTATTTGATATTACATGGTTTATTTGGAAAGTAAATTAACTACTTTGTTTTCTTATGATAAAAGCACATTTTGAAAAATAATAAGTGGTATTGGAAATTCAGTGGAGGGTCTTAGTTTTAATAATCACAAAGTTCTGGATCTAAATATGTGTGCTACAATGCTACTCAAACATGCGGCACTTAAAGCTACCTGGTGGTATCCCCTGGAAGGAAAGGGAGGGCCTGGCTTGGAACCTAAATGCAGGCCTGAGCTAATACAGTAGCATCCAGATCAATCACAGAATGATCCAGCTGCCCCTCTTCCTCTCTTACTGCCTAGCTCTTAGGCCTAACTGACTTGGCCTGCCACTAAGAGGGGCAAGAAAACTTTTGGGAGCTTAGGGGCATATGAAAACCAAGGTCAACTTTAAGGTGGCCATTATCTAGTGTGTCAACAACTCCGATAAAATCCTTTAGAAGCAGAGCTTGGCTAGCCTTCTCCAAAATTTCCTGAGAGGATGAGATATTTCAGAAATAAGAAAAGGAAGCAATCATCACATCTCCCAGAAGAAAAGATCCTTTGGGGGAAGAGGGTGGCAGGATAAATTTCATAAACCAGCCTTCTATTAGGTCCTTGGGAATGCTTCTTACACAAACAGCCTTCGGTCTTGGTCCAGAGACCCCTTTTCAGAGATATCTTCAAATCTTCGCCGGATCACGTGGATGTTCCTGGGAAAGATGGGCAGAGGGAGTAGACGCTATCTTCTGAGGGACCCTCTCCAATCTTGGGGCCACACCTGGAGGTCCCTCTTCCTTTACTTACTTGCTCAGTAGCTCATTCTCTATGGCACGCTGGTCAAATATATTCCTTTCTTTCTCTTGAGCAATCAGTAGCACCAGAGCACTGGGGAAAAAGCACAGGTGGCCCAAGGCTGTTACAGAACTTGTCCTTCCTTGTCCTACTTCTTTCAGGAATCAGAATAAGAATACAGCTTCCCTGAAAGAGCAGATATTCCCTCAACTTGAGAGTACCTCAGGTTTAGATACTTGAGGCTATACACATCTCCTAAAAATTGAAAACTTGAAAAAATGGAGATGTCTCTGCCTCTTCTCTAGTGGGTAGATGAACTATTATAATTATGTCAATTTTCTGTGCAAATTAAAGTTTAGATTTAAAACCATCTCAAATCCCCAAGAGACTTTTCCTTAGAACTTAATATAATCATTCTAAAATCTTTCTGGAAGAATAAATAGGTGGGAGTATTGAAGAGTATTTTGTAAAGAACAATGCAGGGGGTCAGGGGCTAATGGCTCTATTACTAGATTATAAAGAATATAATAAAAGAGTGTAGCTTGTGCATGAAACACTGGATCAGCTAAATAGAACCCTACAGAAACCTAAAAGGCAAACTATAAATAAGGCATTATCTCTTGGGGCCTCCCAACATTTCTATTATATATACAGGGTCACATTTGGTCTCACAGTATTAATGGGATCATGGGGGCTTACCTGGACTCTTCTTCTCTGTTTATCCATGTGTTTTGCTTAAAGAAGCAGGGGCTTGAGGGCTCAGGGAAAAGCTTATGCCAGAGAATTGTCTGTTTGGTTGCCAGCTAAGATATTTTCAGTTGTCAAAGATAGATCCAGTCCCCCACCAGACTCTTAGGGAAAATGCTTTTAGGGCAAACTCCATTTTTGCTACAGCTGTGCTGCTTTCTGCCTGTGGCTTCCTGCTGAGACCCTTAGAAGCCCAAACTTTGGCTTAGGATTCTAAGTGTATTCCTAACCTACTATACTTGGCCTTTGTCTGTCTCTGCTTCTCCTTACCTTAGCTGAACCTCTTGGACTAAATTCTGTTTGCCTGACTCCTTTCCATTTAGCCAAAATATAGGTCCTAGTAAGCCCTCTCTGCCAGCCTGCCTGAAATCTCATGAGGTCAGGTGTGACATTAAGCTGAGTCTGATTTTGAGTTGATGTCTGAGAGACAAGCTAGAAGTGGCGCTCTCATAAGTCATCTTGACCTGAGAGTTTGCTGAGGGCTAATGGCCTTGCTCTTCACTTTGTAGCCAAACTGCTTTATTCATGAGTGGGGGTGTGGCACTTGGCCCAGGCTGGCCCACCTCCAAGAAGAGGAGGAGGAGGAAGGCTGGAGGCTGTAGGTTAAAGTGGAACTGTATGTCCTAGCCAATTAAGTCAGCCTGCCATCTGCCAAACAATCGGAGCCAAACCTAAAAACATATTCTACCTACTCCTGCCTTCAGTTCTGAGCAGTCTGTTGGGAGTAATACTAGGAAAATTGTCAGCTAAGGAAAGTGACCTGGCAACAGCATGCTGGCTGGGCATGAGGATCCCTGAGTCCTAGTCCTGGCTCTACTAGTGACTTATAGTGTGTGCTTGGGCAGCTCAGTTTCTTTCCTTGGGCCCTGATTTTCTCATCTATAAAATAAGAATATTAAAAAGATCACAGTTCCCAACCTTTATCACCAAGAATTCCCTTTTCTTATTTTCTACTCATTCGAACTAACCACAGGCCCTGTTTTAAAAATGTTTGCTTAGCCGGGCATGGTGGCTCACACCTGTAATCCTAGCACTCTGGGAGGCTGAGGCAGGTGAATGGCTCAAGGTCAGGAGTTCGAAACCAGCCTGAGAAAGAGCAAGACACCGTCTCTACTAAAAATAGAAATAAATTAATTGGCCAACTAAAAATATATATAGAAAAAATTAGCCAGGCATGGTGGCGCATGCCTGTAGTCCCAGCTACTAGGGAGGCTGAGGCAGAAGGATTGTTTGAGCCCAGGAGTTTGAAGTTGCTGTGAGCTAGGCTGATGCCATGGCACTCTAGCCTGGGCAACAGAGTGACACTGTCTCAAAAAATAAAATAAATAAATAAATAAGTAAATAAATAAATAAATAAATAAATAAAAATGTTTGCTTATATTGAAATCATAATTCATTTTCTAGGCTTTCTTTTAAACAAATCTTAAAAATCATGAGACAATTGACAAAAATTAATCTGTTCTACAAATGCAGTTTTTCAGACTATGCTATGGGACCATATCTCCTACAGACAGAACAGGGTTAGTACAGAGAACACAGGCTTTAGAGGCAGATGAATTCTAAACTTACTAGTTGTGTAACTTTGGGCAAGTTATTCAACCTCTCTGAGCCTCAGTTTACTCTTTTGTAAAATAAAACTAGTACTTGTTAAATGGTAGCTATTATTATTATTGAAAGTACTGGCTGGGCGTGGTGGCCCATACTGGGTCATGTGCTGGGCCAGCAGAAGAGCCTATCTAACTCTCACAATGGGGGAAGCCGGTTCTAGCTCAGGTGCCACACAGCTCCTACCTTCCAGTGCCTAATTCTGGGCACACAAGTATTTTCTCTCCATGTTATTCACAGGCTGGCAGGGCAAACCCTCTGCAGCTTTGTCTAACAGCAGTTCCCCAGCTAACCCATCCCCTGGCTTCACTTTCTTAAAATACAACCTAGCCAAGAGTTCTACTTGAAAGCATATTTGTCTGATGACTTCTAAATGCTCAGAGTCTGAGGTTTCTTAGGTCATAATGAGGCTTAGCAAGCCCAAAGAGGCTCTCTTGGAGACAACAGCATGATTAAGAATGAGGGTTTCTGAGGGACATGGACTCAGGGCTCTGTCACGAACTCACTGCTTGACCTTTAACTTCTCTTCTCAGAACCTCAGTTTCCTCATCTGTAAAATGAGGGAAGTGAATAGTACCTATCTCAGAGAGTTTATTATGAGGATTCAATGAGATCCTGTTTGTAAAAAGCTTAGCCCAAGGTGTGGCACTAGTAAGTGCTTATTAAGGGCTATTAATGCTCTATCGCACTGCAATAACAGCCCAGCGCAGTGGCTCACGCCTGTAATCCTAGCACTCTGGGAGGCCAAGGCGAGCGGATTGCTAGAGGTCAGGAGTTCAAAACCAGCCTGAGCAAGAGCGAGACCCGTCTCTACTATAAATAGAAAGAAATTAATTGGCCAACTAATATATAGAAAAAATTAGCTGGGCATGGTGGCGCATGCCTGTAGTCCCAGCTACTTGGGAGGCTGAGGCAATAGGATTGCTTGAACCCAAGAGTTTGAGGTTGCTGTGAGCTAGGCTGATGCCACGGCACTCACTCTAGCCTGGGCAATAAAGCAAAAGTCTGTCAACAAAAAAACAAAAACATTGCAATAACTGTTAATACTAACAGTAATACTAACAGTAGCTCCTTGATTGTCTAGAAGTCACTTACCTAATATCTTTACATATCTGGAACATGGTTAAGAAATAGGAAGGAAGCAAAAAAATGCCTCTAAGCAGTTAAAATGGACACCTTAAAATTCCTAAGTCAAAGTTTATGCACTTACTCATCAACGTGAGGCCCTCACACTCTTTAGACATGATCATAAAAACTTGCATCATTTGCTTTCCCAAACCACAGCAAATCAGAAGGAGGTATGGGGATAGGAGTGGAGGATCCCAAATTGAAACACACTGACAGCAGTAAAAAGTAAGAGCTGGGCCGGGCGCGGTGGCTCACGCCTGTAATCCTAGCACTCTGGGAGGCCGAGGCGGGCGGATTGCTCGAGGTCGAGAGTTCGAAACCAGCCTGAGCGAGACCCCGTCTCTACTAAAAATAGAAAGAAATTAATTGACCGACTAAAAGTATATATACAAAAAAAAATTAGCCGGGCATGGTGGTGCATGCCTGTAGTCCCAGCTACTCGGGAGGCTGAGGCAGAAGGATCACTCGAGCCCAGGAGTTTGAGGTTGCTGTGAGCTAGGCTGACGCCACGGCACTCACTCTAGCCTGGGCAACAAAAGTGAGACTCTGTCTCAAAAAAAAAAAAAGTAAGAGCTGATAACTGGGAAGCAGACAGGAAAGCTATGAATAAAATGAATGAGAACTTAAAGCCCAGCAGTCAAAGCCGTTAGTGTAGGCAAATAGCCTGTAACCCAGGTAGCACTGCTGCATTATAGCAAGATGCAATTGCTGACGGTCATAACGATGACCTGCAGTCAATAAGAAAAGGTTATAGTCAGCATCTTTTATTTAAGAAGGAAGCCCAAAACCCTGTTAGAATAATTTTGGCACTTAAAGGTATAAGTTTCCATTTCTAGAAAAATCCCCTTATTTCCTAATGATGTCAGGCAAAGAAGTTGCTGCACCCATGAATGCTGAATCTAAAGCAGGGTACTACTGGTACTTTTTCACACCCTTACTTGGCTGAGCCGTAGAGCTCCCATGCTTTGGCAATTCCCATGGCCAGTCCCTTGCTGGGATTATTGGAGAGGATCTTGGCAGCTTCTTTGGTCTTCCTCAGTACGTTGAGAACATGTCTGTTGGAAGAGAGACAGCTGTTCAATAATTGGACAGACCTAGAAGAACCCCCTCTGTCCATGACCTCACAGATACTTATAGGAACATTACTTTGAGGATCAGCTGAGCACTAAAAACCATCTTACCATCACACTCCTGGAGGATCCACCTCAGCTTAGAATATGCTGGGTTACCTAACCCTGGCCGCTGGTGTACATGCCCAGAGGAGTCCTGAGACCCTGTATCCCCACCCCACCCCATCCTAGCCTCACACTGAGCTGGAGCACCTACCCTTGGCCCCCAGGTACTGTCTGGAATCCTGCTGCAGACCATCTGGAATCATTGTAACCTGGAGCATCACTGCTGACTAGAAATGGATGCTACTAGGGCCCAGCCATCAGATGGAAGCCCTTGCACTCTTCTCTCTGCCTTGGATTCTGACCTCCTTTCAGGCCCTCAAACATGTCAAGTTCTTTCTCAACCCAGGGCTCTTAGAGATACTGTTCCCTCTGCTTGGAACACAAACTTGAACAACAAAGGGATAGGACTAAATGATTTATCAGGTTCCCTTTCTCTCTGACATATCAAGGATCTGATTATAAGTGCAAACTTGCTGTGGGGGGAAACATATGACCCAGAGCCCAGAAAGGCACAGTCATAGTTAGAAATCCCTGGCCCAGCCAATGACTGTAGACCCATCAGGCTGACACCCCACAGGTATGCCTGGAGCTGCCCAAGGGACCCACCGATGCACAGCAGGGGTCCGGGAGGCCAGGCCCCCAAAGCTAGCAGAGATGGTGTTGATTTCAATCTGTTTCAGGGCTGGGGAGCCATCTGCGCTGCGCTGGAACATGTAGTCTGAGCGGTTCAGGCCCAGGAACACAGTCTGTGGGAACACTGAAGGCTGAGGACATCTGCCCAAGGGCTGACTCTGCGGGCCTAGCCACAGAGCAGACAGGTACCATGAACTCTATGTAGAGATTAGAAAAACCAGCTACCACTCCCAAACCCAGTGGGATCATTCTTCTGGTCATCCCAGGATTGGTCACTGGGTTGTACAAATCCACTGGGGACCAGTGAGAGGCAGATTCCCATAAGCTCAGGGCCTGGGCCAAATTCTTCTGGTAAAAAAAAATTACTGACACATACACACAAAAGAGATGGGAGGGGCAGGTTTTGGACTGGGGTGGGACTGGGAATGGTTACCTGGGCAATGCCCTCTTTCAGGACTTGCTTGTGGATATCAAAGAGACGAGCAGTAAAGTCATCCCTTTTGATGGTGCTAGAGGAGAAAACAGAGAACATTTTCCAGCCTTCATGGGACCTTAAAGTCAAGGAGTCCCACCTCCATTCACTGACTCGTGAATCCTCTCTGGATCTACTAGCCAAAATTTGAACATCCACTCCAATTGAGTAGAGAATAGTGATTGAGAATCCAGCTCTAGAGCCAGATGCCCTTGGTTCAAATCCTAGCTCTACCACTTACTACAAGGCAACCTCAGGGAATCATTTCACCTTCTATGTCTCAGTTTGCTCATCTGTAAAATGAAGAGGAAAATAATTATATCATAGAATTGTGGTGAAGAGTAAATGAGGTATTACATTCAAAGCACTGAACATAGTGTCTGGTCCCAAGAATGAAAAAATGACATGTGCTATAACTTTTCTATACTTGAATAGTTCTCATGGTTGGTAAGCTTTCTGGTTGACCTAACACTAATTCACCATAGCTTCTCTTGCACTCTGGGACCTCCCAGGAGAAGGCTTCTCTTCTTCCATGAGAGCCTGATGTCATCTCTCATGTTTGACTATAAACCACAGGAGGGTGGGGCCGTGTCTGTAGTTGGTTCATCATCATAGCTTAGTGTGATGCCGTGACATGTGACATGTGGTAGGGCCCTATCCATTATGGTCTTTTGGAGACTCAGGAAGAGACAGAGAGAAGGAATCCACAGGTAATTAACACCATACTGTTGCCTCTCAAAATTCAGGGCCCATGAAATGCTGTGAGAAGATTGTGACTTAAGATTCAGGGCCCATTCTGCACACCTGCTCAAGCTTGGCTTTCAGGCTCACTTTGTTACAGAGACCCTGCAGCAGACCAGTGGGGAGAGCCAAGTAGCTCAGTTCTGCCCTGAAGTTCCTCTGCTCCCCAGCCAGCTCTCTCCCAAGGGTGAGCTCTCTCATACCAGCCTTTGGTGAGGAGGAGTCCCCAGCTGAGTTTCAGCCTTCAGGGAAGTTGGGACACATTTTCCTTTTTCTGAAGAGGTGCTCTGGGGCTCTTCTCCCTTAACAGTTAGGGTTTGTGTATGTGTGTATGAGAGAGAGAGAGGAGAGAGGAACAGGGAAAGCAGGGGTTGCAGAGATGGGCTGCAGAGAAGTTCTCTCACATAATTGCATCATTAGGGTAAAGGTCATAAGCCAGGCCACTCATATTTCTCACAATCCAGATTCGCAGGTACAAAGCTGGGTCCATTCTGAGAAAGATCTCAGGGGAAGGTGGCAGTTGGATTCACATATTCACGACTCATCGGGTTTTTAGCTGCAAGTCAGTAATTTCCAGACTTCTTTTTTTTTTTTTTTTTTTGAGACAGAGTCTCACTCTGTTGCCTGGGCTAGAGTGCCTTGGCATCAGCCTAGCTCATAGCAACCTGAAACTCCTGGGCTCAAGCAATCCTTCTGCCTCAGCCTGCTGAGTAGCTGGGACTACAGGCATGTGCCACCATGCCCAGCTAATTTTTTCTATATATATTAGTTGGCCAATTAATTTATTTCTATTTTTAGTAGAGATGAGGTCTTGCTCTTGCTCAGGCTGGTCTTGAACTCCTGACCTTCAGCCATCCTCCCTCCTCAGCCACCCGAATGCTAGGATTACAGGCATGAGCCACTGCACCCGGCCTGCAAACTTCTTACTATTATGATCCCTTCACATACTCACCCTCACACCAAGTTGCACTTTTAAAAAGATTTTTATCTCTAACAAAATAATCTAGTTTTCTCTTGAAAAATTAATCAAAGACACACCATTACAGGTTGAGTATCCCTTATCTGAAATGTTTGGGACCAGAAGTATTTTGGATTTTGTAATATTTGCATATACATAATGAGATATCTTGGAGATGGGACCGAAGTCTAAACACGAAATTCATTTATGTCTCATATACATAGTCTGAAGATAATTTTACACAAAATTTTCAATAATTTTGTGCATGAAACAAAGTTTTGACTATTTTCACTATGACCTGTCACATGATGTCAGGTGTGGAATTTTCCACTTGTGATGGCATATTGGTGTTCAAAAAATTTCAGATTTTGGATTAGGGATACTCAACATTTATATATATTTAATTATAAAATAAAGAATTGGTATGGCCCAGTCTGAACCCCATCCCACCCAAAAATGGGAGGCCTGAGGTAACAAGAAAAGGTCACTGCTTAGGACAAATGGACATCTGAATTTAAAACCAATAATCTTCCCTATCCTCTGTTTTCCTCCAAAACTAGGCTGACTTTCCCTAATTACAAATGGAAATACCAATCTTCAAAGCAAGAGGTCACATCTCACAGAATGTTAACAATGAAAATGACCTTAGATTTAAGCCAACCTCTCCATTTTTCAGGTTGAAGAAACTGAGGCTCAGAGAAGGAAAGGGACTTGCTTGAGGCTATGTAAATAAGTGGTAGAGCCAGGATTAGAAGCCAGCTTTCCCGACTCCTACTACTTTGTCTTTCTTCTGTCCTGCATCCCACCAAGTTAGCTGACATGGCAACACCTCATGGCTCCTCAATCTTCCCATCCCTTGGTTCTAGCAGCTCCTGGCTTCCCATGCTTTACCACCTGGTACCTGGAGAGAGTTTGCTCCAGGAAGGCAGCGTTCTGGCTGACAGCATCCACTAGCAGGTTGAAGTCCATCTGCACAGCATAGGCTTGCTCTAGCAGGGCACTGGGGACCACTGAGGGGAAGAGTGTGAATGGGGCATAGCTCACCACCTGATCAAGGAAAGAGAATGGGGCAGGGGTAGAACACCTGTGAATGAGTTGTCTTTCTGCAAACATAACTCCATGAAAGTCTGGCCTAAATTTATTCAGGACATACCAACTACAGATTAGTAGTTACCTTGGGAGGGGTGGGAGGGGAAGAAAGTATACAAAGAGAGCTTCCAGATTCTATGATATTTTATCTTTACAATTAAAAAACTGAGAAGTGGCCGGGCACGGTGGCTCACGCCTATAATCCTAGCACTCTGAGAGGCTGAGGCGGGTGGATTGCTCGAGGTCAGGAGTTCGAAACCAGCCTAGCAAGACCGAGACCCCGTCTCTACTATAAATAGAAAGAAATTAATTGGCCAACTAATATATATAGAAAAAATTAGCTGGGCATGATGGCACATGCCTGTAGTCCCAGCTACTCGGGAGGCTGAGGCAGAAGGATTGCTTGAGCCCAGGAGTTTGAGATTGCTGTGAGCTAGGCTGATGCCACGGCACTCACTCTAGCCTGGGCAACAGAGCGAGACTGTCTCAAAAACAAAAAACAAAAAAAAAACTGAGAAGCCACTGGGCAGGGTGGCTCAGGCTTGTAATCCCAGCATTTGGGGAGGCCAAGGTGGGAGGATCATTTAAGGCCAGGAGTTCAAGACCAGCCTGGGCAATATAGCAAGATGCTGTCTCTTAAAAAAAAATGAAAAAGATTGGCTGGGTATGGTGGTGTGCACCTGTAGTCCCAGCTACTCCAGAGGCTGAGAGGGGAAGATTCCTTGAGCTCAGGAGTTTGAGGTTGCATTGAGCTATGATCATGCCACTGCACCCTAGCCTGGGTGACAGAGCAAGGCCCTGTCTCTAAAAAAAACAGAAGTCACGAAACATTATTGAACACATACTATGTACAGGGCACTATTTTTTTTTTTTTTTTTGAGACAGAGTCTGACTCTGTTGCCCTGGCTAGAGTGCCTTGGCATCAGCCTAGCTTCCAGCAACCTCAAACTCCTGGGCTCAAGTGATCCTCCTGCCTCTGCCTCCCGAGTAGCTGGGACTACAGTCATGCACCACCATGCCCGGCTAATTTTTTCTATTTTTGGTAGAGATGGGGTCTCGCTCTTGCTCAGGCTGGTTTTGAACTGAGCTCAAACGATCCTCCTCCCACCTCAGCCTCCCAAAATGCTAGGATTACAGGCATAAGCCACAGCACCCGGCCCAGGGCACTATTTTAAATACTTTATGTGGATTCATCATTTAATCCTGTGAGGAAGATAATATTTATTATCCATACTTAACAGATAAGGGACCTAAGATAGGTCCAAAATTATATTCAGCTGGTAAGTGATGCTGGGATTTGAACTGGGATGGTTACTAAATCATATACATTCGTGTACACACACACACACACACACACACACACACACACCCCAGCTCCTACTTGGTTAATGTTCAAGCCCAAGTTCCTCCATGTGTCAGGAGCTCACACCCTGCTGGTAGAGCCACAGCAGAAGTGAACTATGGCCTCCTGAGTAGAAGCCAGCAGTGGTTGCCCGCCCCCACCCAAGTTAGAGATGATGACTCAGGTTAACAGGCCTAGAGTTCAGCTGCACTGTGGATTCTTTGGACTTTAACACATAGCCAAGAAACTCAAATACCATCTAGGACACTGTTTTTAGAAGGGGGAAATACATTCTCAGATTCCCAAGAAAAAGTGAATTAGAACTTGGGTAAGAGAAGATAAGATGACCTTGTGGCTTATATTATGAAGCATTCCTGACTTTAACCTTTTGAGTTAATATCAGTTTGCCATTATGGTAGTATGAGTTTATGGTGTTAGAGTTGGCATTTATGTTTATTTAAAAAATATTATTATTTTGAATAGATAACACAAACACATGAAACAAAATTCAAAATAGACACAGAATACATAGTGAAAAGTATGTTTCACTCCCATGCTTGCTCCAGTCACCCAGTTCTCCTCCCGAGAGGCAAATGGTAGACTAGTGTCTCACACATCCTTCCAGACATCTTTATACTGATATATATGTACACATATATAGTTTCTCCTTTTTTATACACACAGCATATTGTACACTGTTCTGTCCCTAGCTTTTAAAATATTTTCTTATATGTTCAAATGGAACACTCTCTTTTTTTTTTTTTGAGACAGAGTCTCACTCTGTTACTCAGGCTAGAGTGCTGTGGCATCATCATAGCTCACTACAAGCTCAAGCAATTGTCCTGCCTCAGCCTCCCCAATAGCTGGGACTATAGGTGTGTGCCACCACCCCTGGCTAATTTTTGTGTTTTTAGTAGAGATGGGGTTTCCCTCTTGCTCAGGCTGGTCTCGAACTCCAGACCTCAAGTGATCCTCCCACCTTGGCCTCCCAGGGCATGAGCCACTGCCCCTGGCTACTCTCATTCTTTTTAATGGCTGTATAGTATTTCACCTTTTGGCTATACCATAATTTATTGAATCTAGCCTTTTATTGAGAAATATTGAATTCACCCCCCATTACCATCAATGCTTCAATGGGTATCCCAGAACATACATTCTATTATAGGTATTTTGTATATGAGAAAGTCTATAAATTCTAAATTTCTAAAAGTAAAAATGAAGCCAGGCATGATAGTTCATACCTAGTACTTTGGAAGGCTGAGGCAGGAAGATCCCTTGAGCCCAGGAATTCAAGACCAACCTGGGCAACATAGTGAGATACTGTCTCTAAAAAAAATTTTTAGAAAATTAGCTGAGCATGGTAGTGTGTGCCTGTAGTCCCAGCTACTTTTGAGGCTGAGCTGGGAGAATCACTTGAGTCCAGGAGTTCAAGGCTACAGTAAGCTATGATTGCACCACTGCATTCTAGCCTTGGCAACAGAATGTGACCCCATCTCTAAAAAAATTTTAAAAATTTTTAAAAAGTGAAAATGTCAAGTTATTAGGTTAAACCTAATTTTAAATTTTGGTAGATAACTCCCAAATTACTGTCCTCAGCATGTTTTTTTTTGTTTGTTTGTTTTTAAAAGATGAGGTCTCACTATGATGTTGCTCAGGCTAGAGTACAGTGGATATTCACAAGTGTGATCATCATGTACTACAACCTTGACCTCCTGGATTCAAGTGATCCTTCTGCCTCAGCCTCCTAAGTAGTTGGGACTAGAGGCATGTCACCAAACCCAGCCTTAGTATGTATTTTAAGATAAAACTAAGGAAAGGTATTTTGTGAGAATAAAGTTAATTCAGCCTGAAGCCTTTATGAGTTAGAATAGGAATTATTACAGATTATATAAGGGGTGACCTAATACCTTAAGTACATGTGTGATGACTACAGGGGCGTTTCCTTGGCTTTTAAACTCAGAACTCTGCCTCCCCTAACAAGTCTCATCTGGCCTGAAAGACTCTCAGAAGAGTTTTTCTGCTAAGATTTCCCTCTGCCTCCGTCTTCGGAACTCATTATGCTCTCCTGAATTTAGATCAATAGTATATAGCTGTCTTCTGCTGTCAACTGGCTAAAGGCTGAATGAAACACTTTTGATAGAGACATGAATACAGAATAGCATTATTCTACTATTTTTTTAAAAACTATAGACCAGGCACGGTGGCTCACACCTGTAATCCTAGCACTTTGGGAGGCCGAGGCGGGAGTATCACTCGAGGTCAGGAGCTCAAGACCAGCCTGAGCAAGAGTAAGACCCTGTCTCTACTAAAAATAGAAAGAAATTAGCAAAAAAAGGAAAAAATAAAAAAAACTGTAGAATATGCATGATAATAAAATTCTGCTTTGTAGTCAGGGAAATACCAGGGAGTGATAGGAATTGTGGCAAATAGAACAGGAGTCACCAGACTTTTTAAACACGGGGCCAGTTCACTATCCCTTAGACCATTGGAGTGTGGGCACTGTGAGCCTGGGACGAGTTGGCTGCTAAGCAGAACAGGCAGCAGTAGCAAAAACACCCAGAGGGCCGGCCAGATAAATGTCCTCGGCAGGCGGCATGTGGCCCACAGGCCATAGTTTGAGGACACCTAAAATAGAACAACTTGCATCTTATCTAAAGAGGGCAGCCAGAACTCTGCTCTAGCCAATTGTTGCCATGCAGGAAAGTGGGCCAGAATTGCCAGATGATCTAATTTTTCCAAATAAGTTAGGTTACTAGATTTTTCTTTTTAATTTCATGATTTTTTTTAATGTTGGCTCTGACTTTTTAAAAATATTCTGATTAAAAAACTATTAACAATACTTGCCTCTGGGGAGGGAAATAGTGGAGGAAGACTTACCTTATCTGGAATATCTCTTTGACTTTTGTACCCTATTCAAATGTATTTGAATTCAAATGCGTTTGAATGTATTAACTATTTTTAAAAATAAATTAACTCCCTAAACATTGTAGGAGCCAAATATTCAGCCTGTATATGGCTGGCTTGCAGCCTGAATCTGCAGTATAAAGTTCACACTCTTCCTTTGCCCTTATGCATAAAGCTTCTTGGCTGTCTGCTTTGGCCTCCCTTCTTTCCTACTATATCCACTTATGTGCCCTGCATTTTAGCTGCATTCCCTTCAACATTTTTTGCCTTTTCCTACTTTTGTGCCCCTGTTATGCTGTTCTTTCCTCCCATTTGTATTCAAATACCACACTTCATCTCAATCCTCTAATCATAATGAATTATTCCTTCTCCCAGGTGTCCTATATAGTATCTTGGGAGAGGCAATAAGGCATGGATGTTCAGAGCATGGACTCAGGAGTCAAACTCATTTGGTTTATTTATTTATTTATTTTGAGTCAGAGTCTCACTCTGTTGCCCCGGCTAGAGTGCCGCGGCATCAACCTAGCCCACAGCAATCTCAAACTCCTGGGCGCAAGCAATCCTACTGCCTCAGCCTCCCGAGTAGCTGGGACTACAGGCATGCGCCACCTATGCCTGGCTAATTTTTTCTATATATTTTTAGTTGGCCAATTATTTTTATTTATTTATTTGTTTTTTGAGACCGAGTCTCACTTTGTTGCCCAGGCTCGAGTGAGTGCCATGGCATCAGCCTAGCTCACAGCAACCTCAATCTCCTGGGCTCAACGATCCTTCTGCCTCAGCCTCCTGAGTAGCTGGGACTACAGGCATGTGTCACTGTGCCCGGCTAATTTTTTGTATATATTTTTAGTTGGTCAATTAATTTCTTATTTTTGGTAGAGAGGGGGTCTCGCTCAGGCTGGTTTCCAACTCCTGACCTTGAGCCAGTTTCCGCCCGCCTCTGCCTCCCAGAGTGCTAGGATTACAGGTGCAAGCCACCCACCAGCCAAACTCATTTGGTTTAAATTCTGGCTCTACAAATTATTCCACCATTTAAATGACCTCAGGCAAGTTACTTAACCTCTCTGGGTCTTGGTTTCCCTTGTCTTTGTTGTGGTGAGGATTAAATGAGTCTGTGATTCCAAAGTTTTTAGAATGATGCCCAGCAAGTAGTAAATAGTAAATGACAGCTAATATTGTGCAGCAGATTGCCTGTTTCCTCATAGAACTGACATTATTTTGTCCTTTGGTACAGTCTCTATCTAGACCCATGCGCTCCAGAGGAGGGGGCCTCTGGCTGACTCACCTCATTGTCCTCACTGCCTAAGATGGTCCAGCATAGAGGAGGCACCTGGTAAAGACTGGGAATGAAATCTCACACACACACATGCATGTACACGTCCTGTCTTTTTTTCTGAATTCGATTCTCATTGAGGATTGTGCCTTTTCTGGGCTCCATTAACTCCCAGAAAGACCAAGTATTGGACCTTCACACAACACCTACTGATTAGCAGAAGAAATAAAAATGTGGAAGAGAATATGCTTTATTCTAGATTCATACAAGCAGTTCACAAAATCTAGGTTCACAACCTAAGCAATTCTATTCCCCAAGGCAGAGGCAGACCTTCCACAGCATTACTCTGCCTTAGATGATAGCCATTCTGATTTACCTGGGCCTCAGCAAACATTTACTGAGTCTGGACTACCCACCAGGCTCATACTAGGTTCTGGGCACACAGAGACAAAACAAGAATGTGGTAGGCTAAAAAAGATGTTGGCAGGTCTTTAGTCACCAATATGAATAGTCTTAAGGTATACTATTAAGTTAAAAGAAAAAAAAGCACAAGGTACAGAAGTGTTTGTCTAGTATGTTTCTTTGTGTAAAAAAGTGAGAAAAAGGAATACATTTACTTGTTACTTGTTAATATTTACTATTATTAATATGAATAAACTATTTGAAAGAATAAACAAGAACACTATACACAGGTTGCCTTCATGGCAATAGAACTGGGTAGCAAGGGAATGAGGAAGGGAGGGTTGAACTGTAAACTTTGAATTTGAACTATAAAAATGTCTTACCTAGTCACAAAATAAAAAAAAAAAATTTAAATGATGAGATTTTAAAATTATGTGGTTTGGACTCAGCAATTCTACTTTTATGTATCAAGCCTAGAGAAACACTCACAGAGGTGCCCAAATAGGCAAATATGTGGAGTTTCCTGTACTATTTATAGTCATAAAAACATTAGAAATCAACTAAATTGCCATCAGTAGAGGAAAGATAAACTGTGATATATCCACACCTGGAATGCTATGCATCAGAATGAAACTGACCTTAATGGAAGGCATTAGAAAGAGTTCTAAGATAGACTGTTAAATGAAAAACAAAAACACATCATAGACTAATATGTACAATCCAATTTTAAAAAAAAACAAACTACATATTTCTATATGCACATATATACACATATCTATATGCACATATCTATGTATATAAATGCACAGAGAAAAACCTGAAAGGATATATCACAAACCAGTTATACAGAAGATAGTGTGATTAGGGGATCTTAAATAATAACTCATGGGGCAAAGTGCTTTAGGTGAATTATCTTCTAATTCTCTTACCAACCGAATGAGGAAGGTCCTATTATTATCCCTTTTTTATATTTGAAGAAACTGTTGAGAAGGGTTAAGTAACTTGCCTAAGTCATACTTCAAACCCCACATTTAAATTTGTATATGCTAGCATGCTGCTTTTTATTGTACACTTCTAGAGATCAATTTTAGTTATCGAGAAAAATAATGTGAAGGAGATGTGGTCTCTGATGTAAAGGAGCTGCCCCCAGCCTGGCAGGGGCCAGACAGTAGGCAGTGAAGTCAATGCTGTGGGGTGTGGCAGGGGGCTTACATCTGAGGAGCTGGGCTCCTGTGAGGTCCTCAGCAACACTCCCTCAGCCAGGGCCCGGTCCACAGCCTGCCGTGCCAGCTCCTCCAGCTGCTGTTCATCCTGCAAGAAGCTTTCCCAGCTGGTGGCCATCACAACACCTGTAATAGATGGAGAGAGGAGAGCTTGGTCACAGGTAGTCTGGGGCCCCACAGCTACTGAAACTGGCTGGTAACCATTCCAACACAGCAGGACTCTGACCTCTGTTAGAAAGGACAGTGTGGTATAGGGGAGTGAACACTGGCTGATTCCAGCTTTTAACAACTTCCATGTGCACAAAACAGAGCTGCTTGACAAAGCATTTCCATTGCTACTCTCTCTCTCTCTCTCTTTTTTTTTTTTTTTGAGACAGAGTCTCACTTTGTTGCCCAGGCTAGAGTGAGTGCCCTGGCGTCAGCCTGGCTCACAGCAACCTCAAACTCCTGGGCTTAAGCGATCCTTCTGCCTCAGTCTCCTGAGTAGCTGGGACTACAGGCATGCGCCACCATGCCTGGCTAATTTTTTCTATATATATATATTAGTTGGTCAATTAATTTCTTTCTATTTATAGTAGAGACGGGGTCTCTCTCTTGCTCAGGTTGGTTTCGAACTCCTGAGCTCAAAGGATCCGCCTGCCTCGGCCTCCCAGAGAGTTAGGATTACAGGCATGAGGCACCACGCCCAGCCCACACTCTCTTTTGATTCCCAATACAATGGCATTATTCTCACAGTATGGAAACATAGGCTCAAAGAGGTGAAATGACTTGCCCTAGGTAATGCATGATAAAGCCTGGACTTGAACTCATGTCTCTGGGCTGCTAGCCCAGTACTCTTCATTAAAGAAGCTGGCACTGGCCGGGCGCGGTGGCTCACGCCTGTAATCCTAGCTCTTGGGAGGCCGAGGCGGGCGGATTGCTCAAGGTCAGGAGTTCAAAACCAGCCTGAGCAAGAGTGAGACCCCGTCTCTACTATAAATAGAAAGAAATTAATTGGCCAACTAATATATATATAAAAAATTAGCCGGGCATGGTGGCGCATGCCTGTAGTCCCAGCTACTCGGGAGGCTGAGGCAGAAGGATCGCTGGAGCCCAGGAGTTTGAGGTTGCTGTGAGCTAGGCTGACGCCATGGCACTCACTCTAGCCTGGGCAACAAAGCGAGACTCTGTCTCAAAAAAAAAAAAAAAAAAAAAAAGCTGGCACTAATGTCAGATGCGATTGGGGTAAGTTCTTTCCCCTTCCACAGCTACAGATTCCCTACCTGTAAAACAAGAGGAATGGGGTAGGATCAATGATTTCCAAACCTGGCTCGACATTCTGGGGAGCACAGGAAAGACTACAGATTCCTTGGCCCCACCACAGAGATTCTGATTCAAGAAGTCTGAAGGGAGGTAGAGGGGTTGAGGCTCTGTATTTTTAAAAAAACTTTCCTGGGATAGGAACCACTACAGTAGATTATTAATTTCCCGTTTAGCTCTAACAATTCACGTCAGCAAATCTCAAATAAATTACATGGGAAGTTGGGGGGAAATACCATGAAATGCAGATGAGTATCATACTAGCCAAAAGCAGAAAGTGATTACACTCTATGTATAGACAGCTATCATCACAGTACCAATAGACAGAAAATATTTTTGAGAAATCACATTAGCAGGATGGAAATAACTGACACCCAAGTGTCCAGAGTAATAGCAGGAGGAGCCTGACTGGTTGCCCAGTGACACATGGATGTGTACCAACTCACACTTTGATGCTCATTCACTTTGCAGCAGGCCTCAGGGGTTTAAGACCTGGATAAAAATCTGGAAACACCAATCATTAATTTTGTTCTGCCCTACTGTCATTTAATTTTAAGAACATGGTTGCCCAACTCAGTGGTCCCCAGGAAGAGAGTTAGACAATGACAGGTAATCTCCATCACATTCAGCTCAGTCCCCCTCTTGGCATAACAGAGCTGGTGCTAGAACAATTATGAAAGTCTGCCAGCCTCAGCACAATGTTTTGAAAGAATGAGCATGTGATCCCAAGAGGGTCCTGACACTATTCCTGTTGAGTGAGAGATAGATGGGTGTAGTCTTAGTTCTGGAGTTAGACCTGGGTTTGAGTCCATAATAATACTACTTCCCTTTTAAGAAAGGTTGCCACGTGGACATTAAATGAGAAAAATCTGTGTGAAATTTCTCAGCATTGTTTGGAGCTCTATACATGGGACCTTTTTTGGGCTGTACTTACTTTACATGTGGAGAAGACTCGTCAGAGGTCACACAGCAGCCTGGTGGCACGGCCTGGACAAGAACCCATTACTTTGATAAGAGCAATGAAACCCTCCATTAGCCCCCGTCTCTTCACAACTCTGAAACTACAACATCTTTGTCTGCTGTTGGGCTTTTGTTTAGTTGGTAAACATTGATTTGCATCTAATGCCAGGCAGTTGGCTAGGTACTGGGGATAGGGAGAAGGATAAGATATAAAAATAATCACTATGAAAAATGCTAACTGAGCCTTTCTCTTTTCTTATTCTACAGTCTCAACCCTTTTTGTGGCTTTCTGTTTTGCTGATGATACTCAAATCTATATGTTCACAGTAGTACTCTCCTACCTTCAAACTAGAATATCCAACTGCTTCCTGGGAGTCTCCACACAACCAGAGTAGAATTTGTTGTTGTCTCCCCACAAATCGGCTTCTCCTCTGATGAACCCCATGTAGGTACCCAAGCCTTGTATGTAGTACTTCTTTCCTACATCCCATTCCCCCCAAATCCTGTGGATTCTGCTGCCTAAATATACAGTACTTAGAATTCCTTGATTTTTCTCCATCTCCACTGTTAGCTGCCTAGCCTGAGTCACCATCATCTCTTCCTTGGGCACTGAGATTCAGAGAGAAGTATCTCCAGTGACCAGGATACACCAGACTCTCTTCCACGTTCCAGGTCTTGGCACGTGCTGTTTTCTCTTTGGAACACTCCCCACCACTCCTGACCAGCGTTCACGATTTAGTTTAGGAAGCTGTCCCTGTTCCTCCCCGCCCAGGGCTTCTACAGCCCATTATTATCCCTGCCTGGATCGTAGGAATAGTGTTCGTCTTGATCACTTCTCTACCTATTACTGGCGCCTAGTACAGTATTCAATGATCGCTACATGAATGAACGATGAATGAATCACAGAAAAGCCTTAAAACGCCCACAGGAAACCCGGTCGGACTTTATCCTCAGGGCTAGGCCAGTGCCTGCATGCAGCCCAAGGCAAGCCCAGGCCTGCCCCGCTTCACCGGCCTGCTCGCTCCCACCAGGGACAAAGTTTGGTCCTAAATGCTCCCAGTTGTGGCTTTAAGTCTGGTTCTACCCTTAATGGCACGGTGCCTCCAGTGCCGGCCCAATCTAGAAGTAAGAGATCTGGAAAATCTGATATCAACATGTGCCAGCCCACACCCCTCACTGGACACCAGGTTCCCGTTGCGTGCGACAGGTTTGAGCCACAAGACCTCCCGGCCTCCGAAGTTCCAATCGTTCTCCAGACCCCTCCCTCACGTCTTTCCTCCCAAGGAAGCGTGACCCATGCCGGCCGCCGTTGCCGCGCCCCAACCTACTCGTCCGTCGTCCAGCCATGCACCATACTCTGGCCCCTCGCGCCGTTAGCCCCGCTCAGAAGGCGGGGCCTTGAGAGGGCGGGGCCTTGACGGGACTCAGTGCGCCTGCGCGGACCGCCCCCAGCAATACTTAAAGAGTGGTTGGGGAGGAGATCCGTGTCTGTGGAGCTGGACGGTGGCCGGGAAAGGGCAGTCCATGTAAGGGCGGCCTCGGCGTGGGGGTTCGTGGGCTGCACCCAAGTGGACCGGATTTGGGAAGGAGGGGAGCAGTAGGGAGCTACGGGTATGCATAACTCGTAGAGCATCAGAGCTGGCCACGTCCAATGAAAAAGAGGGTGAAACTGATGCTCAGAATGGGACAGTCACTACCTCAGGGACACACAGTTGATGGGGATGGGGGTAGGCAGAGTAATAGAGGCCCCAGAGAGGGTTAGGGTCCCATAGCACGTTAGCAGCGGAGCCAGTGTTGGAACTTAGGCTTGTTTCCCAGCCCAGCCAGGTCCCAGAAATACCTGCCTGATTTTTTCTTACCTCGAACAGCAACAGGGGAAGCCTTAGAGAGGAAGGAAAAACATCTTTATTTTTCCAGGAATTTTGGGGGTGACCCAGTGTTTCTCAAAATCTCCGATACCACTTCAGGATCTGGGGCAGTTTTTAAAAATATGCATATTCATGATCTCTACTCCCATCTCTTGGCAACCCCCAGTGCCTTAACTGTTTCTTTCTGGGTTGTGATAGGATTGTTCACAACCTGAAGCACCTGATATGAATTTTAGTTAAATGGAACCTATTAGTTTAGGTCCTAGGGAATTAACCATGAGTAAGACGCAACCCTGGCTTGCAATCTAATTAAAAAGGCAGGGAGCAAACTGTTTTTCTGGAGGAATCGGGGGAGGCTTCCGGGGCCTTGAAGGATGGATATGAATGTATAGGCAGTGAAAGGTAGGGGTGAAGGTCAGATGCTGGGTTGTGGACAGTGTTCCAAGTAGCAGAAACCAAGCAGAGCTGCTTGGCTTGTTTTAGAGACAATGAAGAGTTTGGTGTAGTAGATAATGAGGAAGGCCCTGAATGTTGGAGCAGTGTATTTGAGTTCAGTCCTGGAGAGGTAGGCTTGGATGCCATGTCCAATAGGCAATGGGGAGCTATATAGGGGCTTTAAGCAGGGGAGAGACCTGGTCAGTTTTGTGTGTTAGGCACTGGTTATGATGTGGCAAATGATTTGGGGACAAGGAGACTAGGTCCAAAGAGCTCTGAGAGAATTAAGGTATGAGATGATGAGACCTGAGCCGGGGCAGTGGCTGTGGAGATGGAGTGAAGAGGACAGCTTAAAGAGATTTAGGAGAGAGAATTACGACTGATTATAAATCAGTGGCCCAACCAGGCACTAAGATCCTTCCAACTCTTTAAATGAAACATGTACATTCTCTGACTACAGGACAGGCTGAGCCCTCCAATCTTGTATGTGGGGAGGTGGTGGCTGGTAGGTGGTCTGGTTATTGCCAGAATAGTGTTTCCTGATGTCCTTTTTGTTGTTTGCTTTTGTACCTGAGGAGGATTTGAAGCAGCCTTTACTATCATAAGCCCCAAGTGGTAGGAAAAGGCCATTGTGTTAACCAGGAAGAAGCTATTTCTAGTGCATCATGAAATTAAAAATAAAAAAACATGACACAGGATTCTCTGTGCGGGTTCCGTTCATCCAAGACAAGTATCAGGTGTCTATTGTTGAGATTTGGGGGGGATCCCAGACTTTAACAGCCCTTTGGTTGAATCCTCTCACATTGTGGCAGGTAAGGAGTCTATTCTAATTTTGGGAATAAAGGTGTGGCAGCTGAGCCTCAGAGGCTATGTGACTTGTTCAAGGTGACCCAGTCTGTGACGTGACTGGGAGTGAAGAGCTCTTGGACAAGGGGTCTTTCCAGCGAGGCTTTGCCCTTCCTGCTCCCTCTGCCTGGATGCTTTGCCCCTAAATCCTGGCATGACCGCTCCTTCTTGTCATTCAGATGTTTCCTCCTTAGATGCCACCCCACCCCGTCAGTCTGTATCACATTATCCTGTATATTTTATTCATAGCAGTTATTAGTATCTGAAATTGTTGCTTTTATTTGTATGTTTTGTCCTTCCACTAGAATGTGAGCCTCATGAAACAAAGACAATATCTGTCTTGTTCATCATGTTCCCCCAGCACATAGAATAGTGCCCACCATATGGTAGATGCTCAATAATATTTGCTTAATGATGGAAATAGGGAGGGAGGACAAGAAGGAAACCAACATTGAGTGAAAACTTAGGATGTTTCAGGTACTTCTCCCAAGTTACCTCATTTAATCCCCTCACGGCCTTTCAGGGTAGGTACTGTATCTCCATTGGGTGAATAAGACAACATGGTAGGTGAGGTCAAGTCAGTGGTTGTTACTTTTGGGGCCTTAGATTCTTGAGAATCTCCATTAGGCACAAAATTTTGCTTATACCACATGGAGCAATTCACAGGCTACCTCAGACCCACTCAGGGATCTCAGATCAAGAAACTCAGAATTAGGAAACTTGCCCAAGGTCTTTCTGGCCCCAGGCCTTTGTGGATCTTCACTTTGTGGCAAGAACAAATTCCATTTAGTGGACTACAGGGAACCTGCTGAAGATTCTGGAGCAGAAGGAGATGATAATGCACTGAGCCTTTCTTTGATGCTCAAATCTGAATAGGTGAAAAAAGACAAGCAGGGCTGTACTGCAGTGAGAATGGAGGCCGATCCCTTAAATGTGTGCCTTGCCTTTACCCCTGCGAGGGCCTCTCTCCATGTCTGGACTGTGCCTTTTGGTTGGGACATCTTTGTCGGTCCCAGGGGCTGCACTGCACATGGTCTACATCTGTGCACATGGCTGCTGTCTCTTTTTAGCAGTGACATCACCCTGTCTGGTATTGTTGTTTATGAGGCTGTCTCCCCACCTGGCTGGGGGGCCACTGCTTTGACCAGTCAGAGTGGAATTCCTGTCTTCTAGCTCCTAGCACAGGTCTGGCCTAGCATTGCTGCTTAGGAAATGCCTGTGGAATCAAAGTGAAGACTGTCCCATGTGTTGAGGATTTACTGTGTGCCAGGCTTGTCTCTGACACTTTATACGTGTTACCTCATTTACACCCCCACAGTAATCCTGGGAGGGAGAAGTTATTGTCCTTATTTTACTGAAAAGAAACAGACTCATTGAAGTTGGGCTTTGCCTTAGGCCCACTCGTGATGATTGATGGCACCAGGCACTCCAGGGCCTGAGCTCTCATCATGCATGGACTCTTAGAGGTGCTGTAGGCTGAAAAAGGGGAGATACTTCTCGGCCCCCAGGATCCTCAGAGATCTATAACCAAGTTTCTAGTCCAGCTTTTGTATCTTGCATGAGGACACAGAAGCCCAGAAAGGAGTGGTGACTTACTTCTAGTCTTTCTTCTCCACTTAGTACATGTCCACTTACTTTTGGGCAGGATGGGATCCATTTTTACTCATTACTCCATCCAGATAGCCCAGTGCCTGATCCAAGTCAATACTCAAGAAATACTTTTAAATTGTATTTGTTAGAAAAACACTCAGAAAGGTGTAAAGATTAAAATAACAAACACCCACATACCTGTCATCCAGCTTGCAAAATAAAATATTGTTAATATAGCTGAAGACCTTTTTGTGTCCCTCCATGACTGACATGCCCACCCCCCCCCCCAGGTCAAGACTCTCCTGAATTTGGTGTTTTATTATCCCTATGCAATTTTTCATTGAGATATAATTCATATGCCATAAAATTCACCCTTTATACAATTCAGTGGTTTTTGGTATATTCACAAAGTTGTATAGTCATCGCCACTGTCTAATTCTGGAACATTTTCATCATTTCCAAAAAGGAACCACATACCCATTACCAGTCACTCACTATTCTTCCTTCTCCCCACCACTAGCAATGAGTAATTTATGTCTCTATGGATTTACATATTCTGGACATTTCATATGAATGGAATCATACGTCGTTTGTGACTGGCTTCCTTCATCTGGCATAATGTTTGCAAGCTTCATTCAGTTGTAGTGTGGATCAGAATTTCATTCCTTTATATGCCTAAATAGTCTTTCATTGTATAGATATATCACACTTTGTTCATCCATTCATCAGTTGATGGACATTTTGGTTGTTTCCACTTTTTGCTATTAAGAATAATGCTACTATGGACATTCGTGTACAGATTTTTGTGTGAATATTATATTTTCAGTTCTCTTGGGTAGATATCTAGGAGTGGAATTGCTGGGTCATATGATAATTATATGTTTTGCTTTTTGAGGATCTGCTGACTCTTTTTCAAAGCAGCAACAATGTATGAGAGTTTTAATTTTCACATCTTCACCAATACAGTTGTCTCTCAATATCTGTGGGAGATTGGTTCTAGTACCTCCTGCAGATACCAGCATCTGAGGGTGCTCAAGTCCCTGATATAAAATAGCGTAGTACTTGTATACAACCTGTGCACATCCTCCCATATACTTTAAATCCTCTCTAGATTATTTATAATACCTAAAACAATGTAAATGCTATTTAAATAATTGTTATACTGTATTGTTTAAGGAATAATGACAAAAGTCTGTACAAATGCAATTTTTTTTCAAATATTTTCAAGCCATGGTTGATTGAATCTACAGATGCAGAATCCATGGATATAGAGGGCCAACTTCGTCTCTCTGATTATGGCCATCTTAGTTGGTGAGAAGTATCTCATTGTGGTTTTGATTTATATTTCCTAATGACTGATGATGTTGTATATCTTTTCATGTGCTTATTGCCAATTTGTATATCTTCTTTGGAGAAATGTCTATTCAAATTATTTACCCATTTTTAAATTATTTGTCTTTTTATTGTAAGAGTTCTTTGTATATTCTGGATACTATACCCTAATTTATGAGTTAAATAGTTTCTCACATTCTTTGGGTGGTCTTTTCAGTTTA